CCACTCACCAGAGCCTGCCTCTCCCACAGCCTGGGCATTAGGTCAAGCCTCCGGTCATTGTGGATGACAGATCCAGGGTTTTTATATATTAGGATGCACATTCTACATACAAAAATACTAAATATGTACATTCTAATTTACTGACATCTTCTCTGGACTCCAGTAGGAACAGTAAATTGTTCAAATGTCTGGGTCACACCAAAATAATTATTTTTATTTTTTTTTAAATATATTTTATTGATTTTTTTTTTTTACGCAGAGGAGTTAGAAACATGGATGAGAGAGAAACATCAATCAGCTGCCTCCTGCATGCCCCCTACTGGGGAGGTGCCCACAACCAAGGTACGTGCCCTTGACCAGAATCGAACCTGGGACCTTTCAGTCCTCAAGCTGATGCTCTATCCACTGAGCCAACCTGGTATCGGCCAAAATAATTACTTTTAAATATTTACTTGAGTTTGCATAAATATTATAGGATCTGTATTTTTAAAAAGTTGTATTTTAAAGGTGACTTTTTTACACTACTTGTCCAGTATTTTGATTAACTGTCATTAGACTGCCTTGCATTTTGTATGTTGGTTATGTATTTAAAGACATTCTTATGTGTGTTTAATCCTGACCCAAGTAATTACCACATACCTCATTTTATAGGAATTTTATTAGGGAATGCTTGGTGAAAGTTTCACTTCGCCTTTGCCTTTAAATTCTGTCCTTTTATAGCATGATGAAAATGTTATTAGACGTTAGCATTTGTTTTTAACATACTTACTTTTCCCCATTGTTAAATAAAATATACTTTCCCTTAAGATTTAATTAAAAGTCTTTGGGGGAGGGGGTAGGTAGGGCGATAGTAGCACAAGCTTATGATAGACAATACAAAAAACGGCTGAAGATAATACAAAACCACTTCCAATCCCACTCACTAGATGGCGCATCCCCCCATAGTCAGTGGGATCATACTGTATGTAACTTGGTGTCCCACTGTTTCATTGCCGGTGCCACTCTTAACAATGATTTTTAGAGGTGTCCCAGCATTCCAACAACTGTATGTATTGTAAGTTGAACATATTCCTATTGTAGAACATGCATTTCCAGGTCATCACTGTTCTAACGTTGTGATGAGTAGGCATGCACGTTGTCCGTGTTGGGCCAATAATGACCCTTCACCTGCTAGACTTTCCTCACCTCTCTCACCACACCTCCCTCCAGAATGGCGAGAACACCGGGGACAGTTGTCTGACTGGTCCCACAGTGTTTTGCACATCTGACTTCTCAGCCTCTTGGCTTCCTCCTACCCTGCCAGTGGCTGCTCTCAGTCTACTCTGCTCCTGCCTCCTCCTCTCCATTTCTTCACATGAGGGTGTCCAGGCTCAGTCCTCAAAATTCTTCTTCTCTCCAAGATGCCTCATTCACTCCCATCACCTTAACACCATCAAGAGGCTGAAGAAGTCCCAGTGTATGTCCCTAGCCCTAAACTTCACCAGCTTCACATCTGCAGATGCAACTGCCTGTGTGACTTCTCTGCTTCACACTGTCCAACTCAGAACACCTGCCCCTACCCTCCAACCAGACCCTCCCCAAATGCTCTTCACTTTGACTCGCTCTCAGGGCCCAGTCAACTCAACTTCACCCCACCAATCAGCATGCTTATAACAAACCAATTCTCCCCATCCTCTCCACTGTAGCTGCGGATGTCTAGTTGGTGTTACTGTTACTCCTGCACCCAAAGAACCTTTTCTCTATTCAGCTGTCAGTGATTTCTTTGACCCTCAAATCAGATAACGTTTCTTCTCTTAAAATGTTCCCATGGCTTCCCACCACACCGTGAGTAAAACCCATCCTCTTGTTGGTGGTTTGCAAGGCCCTATGGCGGCAGCCTCTGCCCACTTCTAGGGCCTCACCTCTTTCCATTGTGGCCCTTGCTCTCCAGGCCCCAAACACACAGGCCTCCTGCCCCGGGGCCTTTGCACCTGCCCTCTCCTCAGTGGCAAAGCTTTGCCTGTTGATCTTGGCACAGCTGGCTCTTTCTTGCTGTTCAACTTTTAGCTCTTTGAGGTCAATGGGGATGAAAGGGGGATTTTGTAATACTTTCAAAAATAAAGATAAAAACAAAAACACATCCATATTTAAAGAAAGATGGAAAATTGATTGTTTTAAAAAGCCTTACTTTAGACTTCCCCGGACCACCTGCTGCCCCTCCCCATTTATCACAGCACCATTTCATGGCCCTCAAAGCACACAGCAGTATTCAAAACATTCCTTGAATCTTTTGCTTGTTTCTTGCCCGAGCCCTCCTTCTGGAATGTGCCAGCACAGCAGGACCTAGTCTGTCCTGTTCTTTGGTGAAGGGCCCCTGGGACTGGTCCCAGCTCCTAAATGGTCCTCAGTAAATATTTTATTTTTTATATTTCTTTATTGATTAAGGTATCACATATTTGTCCTCAACCCCTCATTCCATCCCCCTTCCCAACTCATGCCCCCACCTCCCTATTGTCCTTGACCACTGGTTAGGCTCATATGTATGCATATAAGTCCTTTGGTTGATCTCTCCCTTTTATCCCCACCCTCCCTTTGAGGTCCAACAGTCTGACCCATGGCTCCTTATCTCTGGGTCTGTTCTTGTTCATCAGTCTCTCAGTAAATATTTCAAACCAAGAAAAACTTCCAGTTTCCTCATCATTGAGTTTGGCCTTAGGATTAAAGGTAATATTCCAGTTAAAGTGAAGGTTAGTACTTCCTTCTGTATTTAGTGGAAGGACTTGTTTGGATTTCTCACATTTCCCTGAGGGGGACTGGGATTGAGGGACCAATGAAAGTAGGGAAGTGAATTAGATCATGAGCACAACATACATCTAAAGCATCATATACTCCTCAGTGGGTAAGTTTTGAATTCTATACTGAACATGAATTTTTATTTTGTGGTTAAAACATACACTACACAAAACTGACCATTTTAACACTTCTATGTATCATTTGGTGACACAAAGTACATTTCACGTTATTGTGCAACCATCACCACCACCCCTCTCTAGAACTTTTTTTCAAATATTTTCAAACTAAAACTGTACACGTTGAACAATCACTCCCCATTTCTCCTTCCCCACTTGGCCCCTGGTAACCGCCATGCTGCTTTCTGTCTCTGTGAAGCTGACGGGACTAGGTGCCTTCCAGCAGTAAGGCATTTGTTCATTGACTGGCTTATTTCACTGAGTAGAATGCTTTTCATGGGACATACACATTGTGGCACATATAGAATTCCCTTTTTAATTTGATTTTACAGAGAGGGAGGGAGAGGAGAAACATCAATTTGTTGTTCCACTTATTTCTGCATTCACTGGTTGATTCTTTCTTGTATGTGTCTTGACTGGGGTTCCAATCTGCAACCGTGGCATCTCAGGACGACACTTTAACCAACCAAGCTACCTGGCCAGGGCCAGAATTTCCTCCCTTTTTTTTGTTAATCCTTACCCAAGGATATTTCCCCATTGATTTTTAGAGAATGGAAGGGAACTGGGGAAGAAAGACAGAGAGAAACATCAATGTGAAGGGAGATTCATTGATTGGCTGCCTCAAACATGCCCCGACAAGACCAGGATCGAACCTGTAACCCAGGTATGTGCCCTTGACAGGGAATCAAACCCATGACCCTTTGATGCATGGGGTGATACTAACCATTGACCTAACCCAGCTAGGGAGAATTTTCTTCCTTTTTGAGGCTGAATATCCCATTGCATGTATTTATCATGTTTCTTTTATCCATACATCCATCAGTTGGGCATCTAGGCCAGCAGGTGGTCCAAAAGGTTGGCTACCACTGACCTAGGCTGTTTCCACCTTTCAGCTGTTCGAGATAATACTGCTAAGAATTGCAGGAGCACAAACCTTTATTCTGGTCCCTGCTAACAATTCTTTTGGTCCTAGAACCTACATTATTCTCAACCTCATTCAGTATTGGGAAGCTTCACCCGCATCACGATTCTAACTGGGCAGCCCGAGAGGCTTCTCGTGGTCCTGGCGTGCTTGCGGGCACACCTTGCAGAGGATGGTCCAGGATTTACAGTATGCTTGCCCTCCTTGTACCTGGCGCCCGCACCCCCCATGGCAAAGCAAAACCAACTCAAAGCAAGTAAACCCAGCAGTCCACTCAAAACTGATCTCCCAAAGCCACCTAAAAAAAAAACAAAAAAAACTATCTCCTAGGGAACTTCCAATCAAGATGAAACAAACAGTAACAAGGAGATGTTTATGAAAAGTAAGAAAAAAAAAATCTTCAAAATTTACACACACCGAGCGACTAGTCCACCAGCCCAGGGACTGCTCGAGTCATTGATGAGCAGACACAAACCAGTCTGGCAGGCAGGCCTATACAGTGACCTGAGCCCGGGGGCGTGTGCTTGGAGTAAGGCTGCTCACTCCGGGAAACCAAATGCTGCTGGGATGGTCCTGCTGCTGTCATGCCCAGTGGCTGCCCTGACGGAGGGGAGAGCCATTCTGGCCGTAGCAGAACAGGGTTAGTCTCGCCACTTCACCATGGCCACCAGGACCAGAGAGAACCACCCTCCACCTGAGCTGGGTCGCCCAGGCAAGAGCCTGGCTGCTGAGCTAGGCCTCCCCAGGCAGCAGTTCTCTGCCCTGGCCGCATGTTACAACCAATGGAAACTGTGGGAAGGAAGATGCTGATCGCCTGGTACACCTGTCAGCGACATAAGAATCTCTGGGAATGTCACCTTACCAACTTCATTGTTTGCAAGCTGCCGGGGGTTGTGACATGCATTGGGGCGGGGGGTTGGGGGGATGTTAAATGCAGCAGCCACTTCTGTCCCAGTTTCCACCTTCCCCAGTCTTCCTCGTTCTGACTGAAAACATTTGGCATGTGGGGCACACTCCTTGAGGTATAAAGTAATGACATATGAATGTTTAGTTTCTACCACTGATTTGTGAAAAGTAAAAAAAACAACAACAACAACAAACAAACAAACAAAAAACAGAACGCACCCAGATTTCATTAAAAAAGTTTTATTTTCATATAAAAGTGCCAAAATATCCACCAATGTCGTAATCTATCTCAAGAACCAGTTTACGCTAGTCGTCAAAACACAAGCCTCTTTATTCACATTGTTTAAAAACCAAACTCTCCTCACACATTCCCACAGTAGCTCGAGTCCCTAGACAGTGGGAAATTGGCGTTCCTGTTGGCTGTGGTAGTCCATATGTCCAGGTTCATGTAGGCACGAAACGGGTTGAACCCCGGGTAGTATTCCTTGCACATGACAGCCGGGTTCTCCATGTGAGTCGGATGCTCTGTGGAGGGGCTGATGGGGCAGCAGTTTTCGTACACATCGCTCTGCGGGGCCCAGATGGAACCAAAAAGTCCAGACATTGGAGATAAGCTTCGGGTGCTTGTGAGGTAGGGCTGATGTGTAAATGAGGAGGGGGAAAAAAGAGATGTTTTTTTTTTAAAAAAAGAAATATATATATTTTAAAAAGTCTTAGAAAGGCAATATCAAGGTTGCATGTATACGAGTAGATACCACAGTGGTATCCATCCAAGTAGCTTGGGCACTTATTACACTATTCTCCACCATCCAGGTGGCTTGAACTCCATTTTTCCACAAACACGGGGTTGTGAAATCTCTCATCTAACTGGGTAAACGTATTTTCAACCCAAGCACGGACCCACAGCCCAAATGTCCTCTCTGTAAAAAACTGCTGAGTGGATCAGAGAGGGGGAAGGGGTAGGACTCGTAAGCACAGAGGGGTGGAGGGCCTTGGCGGGCAGGAAGCCCTCAGAGCCCCGTCACTGACCACCGACAGCTGTCTGTGACGTGCATTTCACCTCTGATCACAGGTGAAAAGGTGGGCGGGGCCACAGAAACACAGCTCCGGCCCCACGTCAATGTTACCACAGGCCGTCCTGCTGGTGCAGCTTGGAAGTGGCTAGAATGCCAATGTCAGCAAGGCCCCTGCCTGTCTGATGATGGTTTAGGTTCCTTCAGAGGGTGGGCTCCTCTGATACAGAGCAGGGGTGGGAACATCTGGCCCGAGGGCCGTATGAGGCCTGCAAAATCATTTGGCTGGCCCTGCCGAGATATTAGGGTAAGGTGACCAGACGTCCCGATTTTTAACAATTTGTCCTGCATCCCGCGACGTTTTAAAAAAGTCCCGATTTTTGGAAAGAATCTTTTAAATCTTCTGGACTGTTTAAAAATGCCGCAGGATGTGGAACAAATTGTTAAAAATCGGGACTGACCCACCAAAAGCAGGACACCTGGTCACCTTACATTAGGGGTGAGAGTTCATTAAACCTTTGACCAGAGATAGCGGGCTAGTTCTCAAGTTGATTGTTTTGGATGGGCCCTCAAAGGATGTTACCAATATCCAAATGGCCCTCGGCAGGAGAAAGGTCCCCTCCCAGCCCCTGACCTAAAGGAAGCAAGCCCAGATTTAGCCGATCCGAACCCAACTCTATTGCTATGTGAGACCTGGATTGAAAAACCAGCAGAAAGCAACAGGAGGCGCCCAGGGCCCCAGCGCGGGCTGGGAAGCACTGACCGGGTTGCTGACGAGACCGGGGTGTCCCCAGGCGGCCGGCACAGCGGGCGGGGTGTTCCAGGTAGACTGCGCGTTGTGGTCAACAAAGTCTGTCTGAATTTCAGCAGGACACGGGAAGCCGTTGGGGTAATTCATGTTCTCTACAAAGAACGGGAGACGTCAACACAGGCAAACATTTTTGGGGTGTGAAGTGAATTCTCACTCTCGGCAAGAAAACTCTCAAGGCCTTTCTTACTATACGGACAGGCTGAAGACAGAAGGAGCATACTTATTACCCTGTGTGCACCGGGAGTTCCGCTGCCACTCTCAGGTTCAAAACTGTTTATCAGACTCATGCCCTGGGAAGCCCTCAGGGAAGGCCTACCTCTGGGCTGACGTCCTATATGTTTGGTGACTTGATGGGGATCTTTCTGATACACAGAATACACTATAGATGTGAATCGTGTCAAGCTTCTCACCAGCCCTGGAAATGTTCTTTTATTACCTATCAGGCCACCTGCATATTATACCGTATGGACTGACAAAGGCAATGCCAAGCCAAGCACTTAGCTAAGAAGATTAATACACACAAGCCTCATAAGCATAGGAGAAAGTTACCACGGCACCCCCTTGTGGTTACCATAGAGCAATGCATGTATCAAAATCCACATTAGTGCAGTATCTAATATATAGCTTATTGTGCCTCTGCCAAGGTAGCTTAGTATGACCAATCGTGCTTGCACTGTAATGTACAGTAAGAGAATTTCCAAGCTTATCAGGGAAATCTCATATTTCTTATTGTTTATTATAACAGGTGCACTGGCAATTTCCCCTCCAAGCTTCTTCCCTTCTTCTGCAACACCACCAGGGCAGAGGCGTCAGAACACGCTGAGGAACAGGCAAGGAGAGGCTTCTATTTCAGGTGGCCTCACTGCCTAAGAGGAGCTGACCACGAGCACCCCAGCTTCCCTCCCACAGGGAAGCCACAATGTCAGGTCCACCCAAGGCCAATGGCTGGGTTCTCTCTTAGGGAGATCGGTAGAAGCCCCCAGTCCCAGGTGTACAGGGCCTTTTGAGGCATAGAAAATTATACATGGCCATGTATGCATAACTAGACCCACACAAAAGCAGTCAGCAGCCTCCTGCCAGGTCATTCTCAAAGGCCCCTCAATGTTAAAGGCAAATTCTTAACAACAACAAAATAAACAAATAAACCACTACGAAAAATGAAAACAAGCTCATGAATACAGTAGACCTTCTGACGGTGGGGTGGGGGTGGAGGTATAGGCAAAATGGTTCAGGGGCTTATGAAGTACCAAGTCCCAGGGATAAGATAAACAAGTCCTGGGCTGTCATGTACAGCAAGGTACTGTAGTTAATACTGTATTATATATTAAAAGTTGCTAAGAGATTAAATCTTAAATAAAAAGTTCTCCCTACAAGAAAAGAAAACTGTAACTATTAACTATGCATGGTAAGGGATGTTTACGACATGGGTGGCAATCATTTCTCGACATACACACATACACACACACACACACACACACACACACACACACGTCGAATTACAATGCTGTATACCTGAGATGAATATAATGTTATGTCAACTATGGTCTAATGTTTTTAAGACACATTTTTCTGCACTGACTGCCTTAAGGCCAAACACTTCCTGCTCTGACTTTCTGAGAATACAAAAATGGCACTGGGTTTGTTCAAACAGCTTTTACCTTCCGGAAAGGCGTTGTAATCGTTCAGTTCTAACGGGCAGTACACACTGGGGAACTGGCCTTCGCAAGTTGCACTCCAATCAATGAAACTGCTATGAAAAAAAGAAGAGGTCTCCTTTCAGAAACGGTGTCAACAGGTCCACGTGAAGAAAGAAGAAAGCAATTTCACTGCCCAGCATCCTGATCACTGCTAAATCCTCAATTTTGGGAAATAAAAGATGTACTTTCTTCAGTCACAGAATCAAAGGTTTACTGAGCGCTCATCACCAATGACATGTCATGACAGGACAGACGCTCGGACGAGGAGCACACTCCCCGTGTAACCAGGATAAGTAACCAGAGGCCGTGGTTATCGGCGCGGAGAAGAGCCACTGGCCTGCCCTGAAGCGTCTGAGCTCACATTGGAAAGACTTAAACACGCCCTGCGGTGCAAGTGTCCACCCCTCACGCAGAGCAGGGCAGGCATTCGCCTTGGGTAAGTCAGGACTACAAAGACCACGACTCAGGATACTCTGGTCACCGTTAACAACTGGGTTCTCGTTCCAGAAAGAAATAAAGTAAATACCACTGTTATAAGCTGACCTCCCCCACGCAAATATTTCAAATGGATTCTGTGACGAAACACAGATGTACCAAGCATTTTCTCCAGGTTCCATAATTCAATGGCACAGTCATAGCCATAAACAAATGTAGGGAATGGCCATTATATAACTATTTTTCAACACTCATGTTATTTGATCTTTTAAAAATGTAAATGTGTTCAAGATCAATAGCAGGAAAGAAAAGAAATCTTTGCACTGTCGGGAGGTGGGAATTAGGAGTGATTGCTTTTTCAATCTTTTCATTTTAAAGAAAGGAGAGTCATGATGTGGTCTTCAGCTGTATTATCTATTACTTCTATCTTTCTTGTTTCTCTCAAGGCTGGGTTTGTTCTTTTCTAAGACATCACAACACAACTCCGAAGGACAGATGGCATCCCCTGGCTGAGGTGGCCAGGGAAGGAGGCTGGGCCCTCGATTCTGTGAGGACAACCTAACAGGTGGGATCCCAGTTCCCACCACAAGGCCCAGGCCCAGGGAGGCGGCCGTCAGCCGAGACCTGTACCTGCTGTGCACGGGGGCTGCTCCCTGCATCACGCCCGGCACCGTGCTCTCCAGGGCGCAGTTGAAGCCGCTTGTCACACACACGGGCTGCGTGGGCCACAGGTCTCCAGGGGGGTACAGACCTGAGGAGGAGAGCAAGGCCTCTGTCCCCCTTCTTCCTACAGGAAACACTCCCGTGTCACCCCCACACGCCGACCACATCTGCTCCCCTCACTCTTTTTGGGGCATAGTTTCCGGATATAAAGCAGAAACAGAGCACACTGCTTGGACATTTACTTCGGATACTGTACTCCTGTGACTGAGGTGAGAAGCGAGCCAAGGAAGGGTAAGATGTGCGCTGGGCATGGGGGACACAGCTAAGTGTGCAGCCCCGCGGTGGGAGAGTGCCTTGTGAGTTCAGAACAGCAAGGGGCCAGACAACACAGGGCCTGTGGCCCCATGAGGACGTGGGCACTGACTCCGGTCAGATGGAAAGCCCCTGAGAGATCCTGAGCAGAGTGGCTGCCGGGAGGTCAGTCTCCACGGGTTCCTTGCACTTCTGAGCATCCTGCAAGCAGAGGCCTCGGAGGCCTTTGTTCTGGACAAGTGGTCGGCAAACTGCAGCTCGAGAGCCACGTGTGGCTCTTTGGCCCCTTGAGTGTGGCTCTTCCACATAATACCTTATGCGGGTGTGTGCACGTACAGCGCAATTGAAACATCGTGGCCCATGCGCAGAAGTCGGTTTTCGGCTCACAAAAGACATTTCAATCGTCGTACTGTTGATATTTGGCTCCACTGACTAATGAGTTTGCCGACCACTGTTCTGGACCATCTATTCAAGGATGTTTTGCCAAGCAAAAGCCTTGCAATCACACGGTGTCTCCCTCTGCAGAGGAGGGAGACATCCTACTGCCTGTTATAAGACACAGGTTCCCTAAGCTTGTTCCTTTCTGTAATGCATGCCACACGTATGCAAGCACCTGGGCCTGTTCAAGTCACCCCTGCAATGTCTGGGGCCAAGGGGAATGAATGCAAACATGTGATGCTCATGCACCTGGCTAGGCCCCAGCTGTATTTCCGTTTTATGTGGGGAAAATGGCCTGGTGCAGGAGTGAGGCTGCTCACTGAGGCTGGGGAGGCTGGGATATCAGATTTGTAGGACACGGGGAGGTGAGGAATGAAGAGGAGGGTGGGGAAAGCAGAAGTAGGCTAAGGTGCTGGAGCCTCACCCTTCGTATGCTTTCTAATGGGACCTCCCCAGGGGAAAGGGGAACTAAACACAGAGGTAGCCCTGCACTGTCCAGGAGCCCTTGTGCCTTGGCTGCAAGGAGGGAGCCCAGTGTCAGCGTAGAGGGGACGGCCGAAGGCAGAGGGTCCCGATGATGCAGGTGCAGAAGGCAGGCGCCCTCCCAGTGCACAAAGGCCCAGGGTGTGGAGAAGAGGGAACTGGGGTAATGGCCCTGCCCTCCAATGCCCACAGTGTGGAACCCCTGCACCTGCTGGTGTCTGGAGCAAGTGGAAGGAGCCTCACCTTTATCTTCTTCAGCACCTGCAGGCCCGGCAGGAAGGCTGGGACAGGGAGGTTCTGCATACTGTGGGAGACTGTTCACGTCGCTGTGGGGAAAGGGAGAAAAGGGACATCGCTGATGTTTTCTGTACAAGGAGACACTGCAGTTGTACAACCAAGTCTGGCTGAGTGTTTACACGCATTCCTCCCCCAAGAAACCTGTGGATACTAGAGACATATGGGTCACAGCCAGAAAAGGGCTGAGGAATATTAAATTGCCAAGACCCAGCAAAGTTGCCCTTTAATAAACAACAAAGCACTTTTAACTGAGGTCACCGAGGCCATCGGCAGTGCACATCGGCCTGCCACCGGCTGGCAGCAATTCTTAAGGCTGGTTTACTTCCTACCCAACACAAAAACGGTTCTTACAGCACTTTCTTTGTACCTTGATGAGTATTTATTTTCACCAACTCACCAACTTAATTTTTAAAAATGCATTTTTATGGATTTCAGAGAGGAAGGGAGACGGAGTAAGAGATAGAAACAACAATGATGAGAGAATCATGGGCCGGCTGTCTCCTGCCTGCCCCCTACTGGGAATCGAGCCCACAACCCAGGGATGTGCAAGGACCGGGAATCAAACCGCGACCCCCTGGTTCATGGGGCGATGCTTAACCACTGAGCCAGGCTCACCAACTTATTTTAATGACATCCTATCCTCTCACAAAGTGGCTGGTGCCTAAGAAAACGAATTTTTCTCTCCCTCTGAAGCCCTCTCCCCCTGCATGTCCTCCTCCTTCTCACTCAACAGAAGGTGCGTGTTTGTTTTGTCTGATGCTGCTACAAGCATCACATGGTGGGACTGTAAACACGTAGTATCTTCCAGGTTCTTTCAGAACTCCCTAGGTCATCAATGCTTGGCTTTATTTCACGTCCCAGCAAAGAGGAGATGATGTCCATTCTTATACCGGCAATGTCTTCTTTCCACTCTCAGGATGGGAGGCTTCCTGACAGTCACAACACAGGAAGGACCAGCAATACCACAGACATCTCCACGTGAACTGTGGTCACTTGGAAGGACCCCGCCCCCCTTCTGAATTACTAGTAAAATCAGATTTCACCTCCTCTCGTCCGTCAAACGTTTTCATCCTTTACCCTGCAGAACCAGGTTTGAAGCGGAAACACGCCAGACAGAAAGAGCAGTGCATGAAGCACACGGAGAATGCCGGGAAGCTGAAAACTTACGTGGGGTTGCAGATGTTATGGCAAAGATTCAAGGAGATGGGCGTTTCTGGAGGAAAGTCGTTCTGGGAAACACTGTCTCCTGCATGAAAGCAAAAGAATTATTCCAAGTTTTTCCAAACAGAATTCAACTGCATGATGTCTCATAATGCAAACGGTTAATTTCATTAACCCCTAATGATTTATTTCTCACGTTAAACTGATAGTCCCATATTTAGTAGTTTTACTATTAAAATGCCTTATAATTTATCTTTTATTGAAAACCCAAGATTTAAATGTATGACTTTTGGCTTAATAATGTTTTCTTTATGGGGGGGGGGGGGGGCTGAAACCATTAATAATATATAACTTTTTAATGGGGGTTTTTTCCTGAGAAAATAAATTTTGCTATAGAAATAGACCAGCTTATAAAAGTAACATGCTTATCGTAAGAAATCTATAAAAATAGACAAAAGATTAAAAAAGGAAAATATAAGACACCTATAATTATACTACCATTATCAATACTTAGCGATAGTTCTTACAATACCTTTGATGTGTACACATATGTGTAAAATTGGGGTCATATTCATATATACTTTGCCTTTTTGGTCTCTTACACCATTAATTATGTTGGGGACATTTTCCTGGTATTACATAACCCTCCAATTTTTATCATTCTTCTGTCAGCCTTCCCTTACTAACAAAAGCTACACTTGTTTTTTTGTTAATGTTAAGCCCTGCATTTTAAAAAGTCTTATGTTACATGAATCCAAATATATTAACAAAAACAAAAACAACTCTTGATGAAGTCTAAGGGAGAGATCGACAGCAATATGGTCATACTAGGGGACTTCAACATCCCCTGACATCACTGGTCAGATCTTCCAGACTAAAAATCAACAAGGAAACAGTGGCCTTGAATGACACGCTAGATCAGATGGATCTGATATTTACAGAACAATCAACCCCAAAGCAGCAGCATACACATTCTTCTCAAGCACACACGGGCAATTCTCAAAGCCAGACTCCATGTTAGGGCGCAAACCACGTCTATACAAATTCCAGGGAGACATGGACTGAAACCCCATGCGGACGCGTTGTCTAGGTTTTGATGGCTGTGAGTGCCCGTCTCTCGGACAGGGCCTGCTTTTAGAGGACTCCCTGCGGGTGGGAGGGCCGTTCTCGGGACTCACCGCTGGCTGGCAGGAAGTGCTGAGGGGCGCCCCCCGGCTTCTTGTCCCCATCGGAGCTGCTGCTGCTCCAGCTGCCCCAGCTGCCGCGGCTGGCACGCACGCTGCCCGAGGAGCTGCCGCAGTCAGAGCTGGAATCTGAGCAAGACTTCTCCGCGCACTTCTTCCCCGGCTTCTGGAAGTAGCCCTCTGCGGGAAGGGAGAGAGAAGAGCTGACCCCAGGTTTCCCTTCAGCCCGTTTCAACTGGATGTCATTTCCGGTCACAGGGGAGAGGAGACGTGATGAAGACAGCGAGGTTTGCCTTCAGGGCCAGCGGACTTTGCTGACCTGCAACTAATGATGGGACGTGGAGAAACAGTGGGGACGGGCTATGGCTCCCCTGCCTGTGGGATGGGCCATTAAACCTGTTTGGTTCTCATCCAGTCCATACCGATGGCAACTGGATCTAACAGTGGTTCTGGGAATAACGAACACTCCTATCAGGAAAACTGAGGCTGCCCTAGCTGGTTTGGCTCAGTGGTTAGAGTGTCAGCCTGTGGGCAGGAGGGTCCTCTGGGGTTTGATTCGGGCCAAGGGCACATGCCTGGGTTGCAAGCTTGATCCCCAGTATGGGGCATGCGGGAGGCAGCCGATCAAGGATTCTCTCTCAACATTTGATGTTTCTATCTCTCCCTCCCTCTCCCTTCCTCCCTGAAATCAATAAAGCAATATATTAAAAGAAAAAAGAAAACAGAAAACCGAGACTGGTCTATTGGACTGGAGATCTGTAGGTTATTTCCCCCTCTCTTCTATCAAGATATCCACTAAGAGCTTCGAAGTATAATTTATGTGTGGGTGAGAAGAACCTCCAATAGATTAAAAAAAAGCAACACATGTATCAAGGGAATGAACAAAAGACAAAGAGAGAAACTCCCCAACTCCGCCAGCCTGTGTGTGCTGACGCGGGCACGTGCCTGGGAACCTGGGCGATCACACCTCTCTCCACCCTGGCTCCCACCAGCCTTGCCAACGCCAGTGGCCCTTTAGCCTCCCGATATACTCTGCCCTCCCCTGAACCTAGCATCGGTGCCCTCTGCCTCCCACTCCCAGGGACGTGCCCAGCAGCCCTCTGGGTGGGGCGTTGGCCTGGCTCTGCGGGAACCACCTGGCTCAGGAGTGAGAACAGCTACTATTCTCCCAGCCTGGCCATTCCCTAGAGTAGGCGTGTCGAACTCAATCAGAGAAGGGGCCAAAATCTAAAATCCAGCCTAAATCGCCGGCCGAATGGTTTACTGAACAGTCATAAACTGTCATTGTGATGGAAACGCAGCAGAGTGCAGTGATGACAGCAAGGTGCGGGCCACATTGCAAGGCCTGGCGGGACGGATTTGGCCCGCGGGCCTTGTGTTTGACACATGTGCCCTAGAGCAAGCAACCACTGTGCCTTCAGCAACCTCCATGGGAACAGCTGAGAATGGCCACCTTTCAGGGAGGTGGGGGGAGGATGGGACAACACTAGAGGCCAATCCTGGCTCAAAAGGACCTTAGCTTTCTAGACTCATCCCGACAGCTTTCTCTTCGGGCTTCAGTAATCAAAGATGCCTGTAAAGTGACCATCTCATCAAGATGCCATTTCTCACACTGGGTGCTTCAAAAACTCCACCAGGAAGCGCCATGCGTAGCTCACTGGGTTCCATACCTGTCTCTCTCTTTGCGGCAGGTAAGCTTCTTCCGATGCCAGCGTCTGTTTTACACCTGTCCCCGGGGGTCTCCTGTGGACACCAGTTTCTTACATCGATGTCACGGCTCAACTCAGATCTTTCAAATTCACTGCAAGTAAGTTTTAACTCATTCTGCTCTGAAGGCCTGGAAGAGTCACCAAAATATATATCTATCACACCCGCATGTTATACATGCATACTGCTTTCCAGACTATTATACATGAAAATATATATAGGGAGCACCTTGAGACCGCTTCCCTTAGGGTCCTGATGGGAGAAAGATATCCAAAAGAAAATGATTCTGTTGCTTTAGAACTAGAATTAACCTGGAGGTCATTTAGTCCACTTTTGCATTTCATAGCTCAAAGAATGAAACTCCACAAGGTTACATGAATCACTCAGGGTTAACTGCCCTGGACCAGAATCCAGGACTATTGCCTTGTCTGTCTTGGTTTTCGTGTAAAATATGATTCTGAATAGAAGAACCCGCTTCTTGGTGTTGGGGGGGGGGGGGGGGGGGGGAGTGCTGAGCATCTGTTTGAAGTTTTTCTTGTTCATTCATTTAGCAAACATTTGCAGCGTGACAACCATGGCCGTGTATTGTTAGAAAACATGCGGTATATACTGAGGATCAAGTTCCTCCCCCAAGGAGTCCATGGTCCAGTAACCATCTCTCTCCTACTAGACCACAGGCTTCTTGAGGGAAGAATGGTCATGCAATTCTGTAAATGGCCACATGGAACTGTGCGGAGAGTTCTAGTGATTATTTCACAAGGTTGGACTTCAGTCCCCAATTTGGGTTTGAGGGAAGAATTGTCATGCAATTCTGTAAATGGCCACATGGAACTGTGCAGGGACATCTAGTGATTATTTCACAAGGTTGGACTTCAGCCCCCAAGTTGGGTTTGCATATGTGGGATGTAGCATGGAGTTTCACCAGTTTCCGACCGCTCCAGGTACAGCGTATATAGACAGAAGCAGGAAGGAGCCAAGGAAACAGACGAGCCAACAGCCCCCTACTTTGTAAGCATCGTGTTCTCAAAACATACTGATTGGCTACAAGCTGCTTGAAAGCCTCATTTTAAAAAGTTGTTTCTTCAGCATGTCAGAAATCTGCTTTCAAATATATATCATATATATCATTCGTTGTTGACATTCCACTCTAATCTCATCTTTCTAATCTCATCTTTCATAACAGGAAAATATAAAACGTAAAACGTAAGAATGACCATAGTAGTCAATCAAAGTTTTCTAAAAATACACCTAAGAGACTACAAGGTGAAACTTTCCTTTCTATAAGATACCACACTCCAGCTTTCAATGAATTCAGGCTAAATAATTTGGGCCTACATCAGGAAAATTAGCTATCAACAATTGCTATTCAGCATTAACAACAAAATAATAGTTTATTTCTTTTTGTTCACATTTGCATTTTTCTGATTGTTCGCTATGAGCCTCAGAGCTTGGAGTGGCACTGCCTGGTCCTTCTCAGCAAAGCGCGTGTGAGAATTGCTGAGGAGCGTGTCACAGTGCTGAGTCACCGAGTCTCAGTCCCAGATGCAGCCTCCTGGGGACCCAGGGACAGACAATGTAACCAGAAACACATACACTGCCCATCAGCGGTCCTCGCCACATGTGGGCTGTTTGGCCCGAGTTCCCTTCCTGTGACAAGGGGAAGGCAGCGGGGTGGACCTGGCCCATGCGAATCCAGAACCGCTGGAGAACAACTGCGCAGAAACTCATGTAAGCTGAGCTCAGGAGAAAGAGAAATCTCCAGATGCTAGAACTCAAACTAAGAAAAAGCCAGAAGGGTGAGAATGGAGGGATCACTTGAGAGGAAACAGACTTCACTGCCCAGGGCTTGAGTTTTCACACCCAGACAGCAGCGCACAGGAGTTAGGGAGGAGGCTAAGTCTCCTAAACTGGAGTCCTGGAGAGGACACTGTCCTTGCAAAGGCACCTGGAAAATAAAAAGTCCCTCCACAACCCCGGTCCCTCCGCAGAGGTCAGCAGGTCTACACACTGCTGACCTGCTGCAAAACAACAAAACCCTAACCGAGGCTGAGAAGTTTATATAACACTAGAGGCCCGGTGCACAAAATTCCTGCACTCAAGGGATGGAGAGGCCACAGCCCAGCCTGCACACTCTTGCAGTTCGAGAGCCCTTGGGGGATGTCCCCAGGAGCAAGCTATCCTACCGGTTGAAGTGTCTGCCCCTTGGTGGTCAGTGCACAACATAGCAAGCAGTTGAGCGGCCTTAGCATACCATTATTGGCATATTAAGCTTTGATTGGTTGAAAGGATGACTGGATGACCGGACACTTGATTAGACTTAAATTTCTGGAAATATGGAAATTTGGAATTCCCAGATAAACACTGCCCAGCTCCTTTGTTTTACTGATCTATAATAATTAAAGTGTAATATGCTAATTAGACCAGACATCCTTCCAGATGACCTTCTGGACGAAGCTGTGGTGGTGGGGGCTGAGGCAGAGGCTGCTGCTGCGGTGATGGGGGCCAAGCCCCTTGCACAAATTTCGTGCATCAGGCTTCTAGTAAGAAAATAAAAGCTCAGCCAAAACCGGTTTGGCTCAGTGGTAGAGCATCGGTCTGTGGACTGAAAGGTCCCGGGTTCGATTCCGGTCAAGGGCTGGTCGATGTTTCTCTCTCATCGACATTTCTGGCTCTCTATCTCTCTCTCTTCCTCTCTGTAAAAAAGAGAAAAAAAAATCAATAAAATATATTAATAAAAAAAAAAAAAGAAAGAAAATAAAAGCTCAGCCTCACCAATGAACCCGGAGGTCACAGTTCAATTCCTGATCAGGGCACGTGCCTGGATTTTGGGCTCCATCCCCAGTAGAGGGCATGCAGAAAGCAGCTAACTGACGATTCTCTCCTCATTGATGTTTCTATCTCTCTCTCCCTCTCCCTTCCTCTCTGAAATCAATAAAAATATATTTAAAAATAAATAAAAGCTCAGGGAGAGTAAGAGTCCCCGGAAGCAAGGCTGCCAAAGGAGAGTGCCAACAGCCTAGTTCCGATCCCAGCTCTGACCCTCGCCATTCCGGGCTTTAAGCGAACACGTTATGTCTGGGCACCTCTGTCTCTGCAGCTGTAAGCAGCCACCGCGGGCAGGATGGAACCTTTCATGCAAGGTCCTGGCATAAAGGGTGTCTTAGGCTTTTTCTCTAAAACCTCCCATAGCTTTTAGCATTTTTTAAAGTAAAAAATGTGAAAAATCTGTTCAATTGAGGGTATTTTTAACAAAAAACACAACTAGAAAATACGTTAATTTTAAAAACATTTATCTAAAAATACAAACACTACACTCTCCCATTATCTGTATCAAACATAACAAAACTAAGATTCAAAGATAAAAGCTAAATGTGAAATGACAAGAGTAAAAATTAGGTAGAAATCTTGAAGGGATTGTAAAAATTACACACCTCAAGGCCTGAGCAGCACCCCTCTTCTTGTTTTTTCTACACGTTCGAGTTTTATTCCAATTTAAGTTTTGTAAATTTCCTTCTTTTTTCTCCTGAAGCTTCTTCTTCCTGTCAGGATCTTCTTGCTGAAGAGAAAAGCCTTTTAGTTAAGGCTTGAACGGACCAAGGTTACATTTAAGGAGACCAAACAAACAAACCAACACCACTCTATGGTGTGTGTGTTTTTTTAAGGATTTTGCATAGAAAAATTTGGTTAATTTGGAAAAGGAAAGGTGGGGTGTATTTTTTTTTAAATAAACATTTGAAGGCCAACTCTGTATGAATTTCATAACGTTCCAACGTTGAAAACGGAGACGCACATTTCTAAAACTCTAGTTTGTTTTCATTTCCCTTCTTTCTCTACCTCCCTCAACCTCCGCAAAAAGAAAAAAAGAAAGAAAAAAAAAGGAAAGAAAAAGGTTGCCTACAAAATTCCTAAGGAACAAAAAAGAAAAAACATCTGTTAGCAATTTATGGTCAGCTTGCTGTTAACTTCAGCAGCAATAAATCCCCCAGCCTTCACCTGTTAATTTGGCCTGGGCAACTCCCATAAACCATCACTGAAGAAAGATCCTATAAAAACTCCACTCAGGAGTAATTTGTGTATTTACATTTTTATTTGTTTATAGATGAACTTCAGGGGAACAGCCAAATCTCCACAGAATTCTCCAACTAGTTTAAGCTTTGCAAGTACATAAGGCAAAAATATGCTGGATGCTTTTCAAAAGTGGTTCTGAAAAACTCGATTTAGCAGGAGCTACATGTACAGGTGGCCCTTGAGCAATGCAGGAGTTAGGGGTGCTGATTCCCTCCAGACAATCGAAAATCAACACGTAACTTTTTTCTTTAGTGTTCAGTATAATACATTTATTTTACCTGGGTTTACAAAAAAATCAGTTCATGTTATCTCTGTTACAAAATATGTCAGCACTGAAATAGCTTAGGATAATATCCACGACTTTGATGTCTCATAGGTATTTCATGGCTAATCTAAACATAATGATGAACACTTCTAACTCCTCAAAACTTAACTACTAATAGCCCACTGTTTGTTGACCAGAAGCCTTACCAATAACATAAACAGTTGATTAACACATATTTTGTATGTTATGTCCATTTCTTACAATAAAATGAGCTAGAGAAAAGAAAAAGTTAAAGAAAAAAATCTTAAGGAAGAGAAAACAACATTTATAGTATTTACTGACAAAAATACGTTTGAACTGGACCCGTGCAGTTCAAACCTGTGTTGCTCAAGGGTCAACTCTATATTTTATATATACATAAAAATTATAAATTATATATATATATATATATATATATATATATATATATATATAATTTTTTTCTTTTAGGCTTTTTCCTCTTTTAAATGTAGGCATTGCCTATTAATAGGACCAGGGAAAGGGGAACTCCCTTGTCTTTTAAATAGCTCACATTTCTACTGTCTTCTAATGCTTACTCTTTTGCTCCCTACCACCACTTGCCCTGAAACAAAAGCACTGTCAGCAGGGGAGGCAGTGGGAGCTCACACTGAGACCCCAGGGCTCTAAGGGGGTGAGGACTTTCCTTGTCCAGGCCTCACAGAGGCAAATCCCCTAGCTCAGGGAGTCCTCTTCCTATAGACCCTCAGGATTCACATTTCATAAAGAGCAAGGATTGGCTCACTGTACCTGCCTCTTTCAGGAGGCTGGTCCAGAAATCAGGGTAGGAATCCATGAGGTTCTAACATACACTTGGGTAACAAACATGACTTGGGAGAAAAATAAAAGGATGTCAATGCCTGCCTGTTACATGTCTGGAGTGTCAAAAGCCTCCTGTATCTACGAAAGCAATATGCTTACTATAATAAAGAAACTCTAGAAGTATGTAACTGTGCATGTGGTGGGGTTATGGGATTTTTTTTTTCCTTCCTTCTTTATGTTCCTTTATTTTCTTCCCAATAAATATGTATTAAGTTTTTTTTTTATACTGAAGGTATTTTTAAAACATGATAATTAGGCACACAATTAGCACTATTCGACAGGACCTTATGCTAATTGCTCAAATCTGATGGGAAACAGACACATTGCAGAAATCCAATCAGAGACAACTCAGAGTTAAACATTAGAAGCATGCCGTATTTGTGCATGTATTGTTCCCTGTGTATTTCTAACTTTGGGGGAGGTAGGGTTCTCCCCTCCTGCCCTATCTTATTCACTTAAGGACCAAGAGAAGCTTTTCAAGCAAGGACCTGAGCCTTTCTGTCCCTCCAGGGTCACAAACAAAGGATCACTCTCTACGTGGAGTCAGAGCCTCACTCTGACACTGGCTGCCTTCCTGCAATCAATCAGGTTAGACCTGTCACCAGGTGCAAACAACAGTGTACGCATCTCAGGGCTACGGGTAGGTGGGGCTTGATGGTCAGAAGTATCATCACTCTTTCTGAATGTTACAAAGAGTATACTTGAGGACAGTGCTGGACACTCTGGACTCAAAGATATGAATGGAATGACCAAGCAGCAGTGCCCATGAGCCAACACAGGACAGGACGGGAAGAGGGTGTGAAGGAGAGTGAAAAGATAGACATCACAGAGGCCTTTTTCTTTAGCTGTGTGTGTGTGTGTGTGTGTGTGTGTGTGTGTGTGAGTGAGAGAGAGGGGGGGGGCGGGGAGAGAGTATGAATATCTGATTATCTGGCTCTCTGCTTTCTGGTAGGGAGGGTGACACAGGTAGGGAGGCAGGACTAACCAGAAAACTGAGAAGCCTGTAAGCGCTGAAATTAAGACCACAGCCTCTGAGACCAACTTGCCGGGTTTGCTTCTGACTGGTGCTTTCTGGCTCAGTGATCTTGGGCAAGGAACTTAGCAGTTCAGTTTCCCGACTCTTCCTCAAAAGGCGGTTGTGAGGATTAAATTGGCTGATGGGTAGTAAGCAGTTTATATAAGACTTAGCTATGATCATCAGCATTACTGAATTATGTGGTCTAGCTAAGTTCTCTGATCTCCTGGATAGAAGGGGCAATTTGACTGATTGCTGGGTAGGGAAATAAGATTTCCTAAGTTTAATAAACGCGAAGGAAGAAACCAAAGAAGAGAAACCACTAACTGCACATTGCCAATGTATATAAGTGAAAGCAAATAAAAAATAAGAAAAAGGACAAACTAAGAAAAAAAATGGAATACACTGATCAACAAAGAATTAACAGCTTTACATATGTTCTCATAGAAAAATAAGAAAAAACAATGGAAAAGTGGGCAAAAAAACGAAATGCAAATTCACAAAAGAAATAAAAAAGAAGTGTTCCTCTAAAATATTTAATAATAAAGCATGTTTCTATGAAAGGCAAATTTAGACCAGCTGGTATCTCCTCTTTCCATTTTGGTTTTAAAAACCTCAAATGCATGTTTCTGGCTACAAATCCAGAGAAGGAAGGGCTGCGGGTGGGGCAGGGAGTGTCTGGCTCTGAGCAGTGAGTGGAGAATGGAGTTAGACATTTATGTCTTTGTTTATTTTTTAAAAAAAAGCACTGGTAGGATTTTGGATGGATAATTTTTTACTTGTGTTTTCAGGATTTTACAAAAAATGAAGAAAAATGCCCCCTTTTCCTTAGTAGGAGATGTACCTTCAAATTAAAAACAAAAACAAAAAAAACACCCCACAATCATTCACCTATCACACTGACCAAGACTTTGCCCAAAAAAGTGTGGCCAAGAGCAGAGTAAAACCAGCCTCCTGGTGTAACATGCATGGGGACGTAAGTCGCTTCCACCTCCCGGGGAAGCAACCGGGCTGCGTGCGTGAGGAGCCTAAACCAGCAGCTCCTCTCTCCTCCAGAAAGCTAGAACAAGGGAGGATCCGGTATATAGGCAAGACTGAGGAACACAATCGCTCATCAGAGCATTACTTATGAAAATAAGAAGTTGTCCACAACTTCGTGTCCCACTGCAGGGCAATGTAGTAGGTTATGGGGCAGTTCAATGATGGAATGCTATGGAACCCCCCAAAACAAAGCTCCTGCTCATTCCTGACATGAGGATATTTAGAATTACAACACTATCACAAAGCTACGTAAACACAATAACGACCCTGCATTTTTAACAATTTGCAAAGAAAAGCAGAATACAGAAAAGCAGGAAAAGTGGTCCATTTTGGGTAGATCTTTTCCTTCCTTCTTTGGGCTTCTAAGGTCATCACGAATGCCATTACTAAGGGAAAAAACTGCTTGGAAGAAAATAAACAGCCAAGGCAAGGGTCAACATTTAGTTTGTGGCTCCCAAGTCCGGGCTTCAACCTTCTTTGCCAATAAATCTAGAGGAATGATCCTATGTACCATACAGATTTATGTCATTTTCTAAGCTGCAAAATTAGAGCCCAAGAATACTCTCTAGAAAAACAAACAGTGAGCAACGCACTGTGGAATGTGTTTATTGAGAATGATTTTCTCCAAACCAACAATGAAATGGAAAGCATACTCACGCATGGGATTTTAAAGGAGAGTTAGTTCTACAAAACTGGAAGTGAGTCACTGGGCCAGCAGAGAAATGACAGGGGACAGCCCCCAGGCAGCACCAGAAAAACTCATGGCCTTTAACCACAAAGCACAGCCTGAGTCCCCCACATCCTGCATCCTGACTGTCCCGCTGGCTGCCACCATTCGGTGCAGATGTCTGCCCTACCCAGGCTCACGGACCAGAAAAGGAAGGAGGAACACAGACTATGACTGGGCCCCAGTGCAAGAAATGTCAGATCTCCAGGGAGTGAGATAAAAAACAAAAAATAAAGAAATGACTGCCTTTTCTTTTATTTCTAAGTTAAGTAAACCAAAGGAAAGTGTGGAGAGCTAGGCTGAGCTAGGAGCTGTGAGCTGTGTTTGAGATGGGAGAATGGTGCCCACCCAGGTCTGGCCAAGTGGATGCCAGCAACAGCACCTCATGGCACTGTTGCTCTGGGCCACCTCCTCGTGGAAGCCCTCTCACTGAGGGGACCTGGAATGACTAGTTCCAAATGCTCCTCCCAACACAAGACTGTGGACTGTGGAGTCAGCACATCTCAGCACTGGTTTCTACCTCATTGCAGGCAGCATCTGGGTCTCCAAGGCCCATCCCTAACCTCATATATCCTACTTAGCCCCAAGTCAATGGCAGTTTCTGCTTCTGCAGGCATGCCCTGTCTTCATCATTTGCTCCAGCTTTACCTGCACCATCTACCACTGCACCTGCACCCTCAAACCGTCCATAGCTTTAACACTGCAAGGTTCAGACTCAGGCCCTGGATGTTCTCTCTGCATAACCTCAGGTCACCCTTAAATTCTAACCTCCACAGGGCCAACTCCCCAGTTGCAAGCTCTATGAGAGCTCTGGTTCCATATCTCTCTCTGTATGATCATAGTCATACCTGTCATTTCCTTGGGGCTTAGTCCTCATCAGTACTTAGGAACTCCTGCTATGCTGAGCCCTTAACATATCAACTCATTTAATCCTCATAATCCTATAAGTAGATATACTATTTTATATTGGTACTAGAGGCCCAGTGCACAAGATTTGTGCATTCAAGGCTGGCGGGGGGGGGGGGGGGTGTCCTTCAGCCTGGTCTGCAACCTCTGGAATTCCGAGAGCCCTCAAGGGATGTCTGACTGACAGCTTAGGCCTGTTCCCCCAGGGAGCAAGCAGACCTAAGCTGTCAGTAGGACATCCTTAGCTCACCACTGTGCTTGCCAGCGTTAAGCCCGGCTTCCGGCTGAGCAGTGCCCCCATGTGGGAGTGTACTGACTATGGGCAGCTCCTGCATTGAGCATCTGCCCTCGGTGGTCAGTGCACATCGTAGCGACTGGTTGTTCCGCTGTTCGGTCAATTTGCATATCAGCCTTTTATTATATAGAATTATCATTATATTATTCTTTAGATAAGGAGACTGGGGTGTTTAACTTGTCCAATGTTATCAAGCAAATAAATGATAAGCTGGATTTAAGCTCAGGAAGCCTGGTACTCATTTGCTTAAGAACAGCTTCTCTTGAGAGTAAAAGCTAGCTGATACCGCCCTCCCCAAGTAATATTAGTATCTCCTGTATAATTAAAAAAGAAATAAAACTTTCTGGACACATCCAACTCACCAATTATCAATGCAGATCTAAATGCATGATAACCAACTTCTCTCAAATGAAGGAAATATACATGGACAGTTAACAGTCATTACACAGACACCTGTATTCTAAGTCTGAAAAATTGGTACTATTCTAATAGGCAAGAAAAAAAGAAGTACAGACCTCGACAGAAGGTATGTCCTGCTTCTCAGAACACACGTCCTCTTTCGATGTTTTGTGGATCTTCTTTTCTGAAGAAGACTTTGTGTCAGCCTTCTTCAAAGCTTCACAACTGTCCACTTCATTCTTGGCAGGCACTTGCTGGTTAGTCCCTTGAATGAATAGAAATGATTCCATTTCTAGCTCATTATTTCCACTCATATTCTGCACAGTTAATTCTCTTCCCCACACCAATCTCATTTAATGAGATTTGGACTTAAGGATTGGTTTTGACATCCACAGTGCTCTAGAAACCTATTTTGTTTACAAGTGAGAAAGCACTTATATTAAAAGTTCTATGAGTAGTCTTTTCAAAGAGCTCAAGGGGAAAAAGGGAGGGGCACACCATTATCTACGGCGGCAAAATTCATAAATGCCAAAAGGTACAAACAACCCAAATGTCAATGGACAGCTGAATAGATAGACAAAATGTAGTACACACACAATGAAATGTCATTCAGCCTTAAAAAGAGATGATTCCTTGCACAAAAATGTGAACCTATTTAACACTGCTGCACTGGGCACTGAAAATGGTTAAGGTGGGAGGAAAAAAGAAATTCTGATACATGCCGCAACATGAATGAACCTGGGAGACATTACCCGAAGTGAGATAAGCCAGACAAACATTACTCGTACATGATTCTACTTGTTTGTGAAACCTGGAATCATCAAACTTACGGAGATAAAAAGTAGAATATTGGCTACCAAGGGCTGGGAGGAGAGAATTCAGGTAATGATTGTTTCATGGGTACAGTTTCTGCTTGGGATGTTGAAAAAGCTCTGAAAATTGGTGATGGTGATGACTGCATGACAAAGTGAATATTCTTAATATGCCACTGAGCTCTATAATTTAAAATGGTAAATTTTGTATTTTGTATATTTTACCACAATTTTTTTTTTTTTTAAAGGTTGGAGAGAGAGGGGTCAAGGCTTGAGTTCTGGCTTTGACTCGGGCACTAATTAGTTTTATGATCAAGTCAGACTCTTACACTGCCTGAGCTTCAGTTTCCTTACTTATAAAGAGAAAATACCACCTTACCAGCCTCCCCTAGCTGATTGTTTGAAAGAAAACACCAGAACAGACATAAAGGGGCCACCACCAAAAGCCACACGCACTGTTCCAGGGCAGGTCCTTCTGCAGGGAATGCCCACCTGCCCCGTGAGTGGTGCCAGAGGCTGAGAAATGACCGGAAGGTGGGTCCTGTGGCCAAGGTTGATGCTGGCAGAAACCTCATCTGAAAACATGATTTTTTCCATTTTTCTTTCAAATGAGTACCTTTCTTAAAAAAAAAAAAAAGTCCAATCAACTGCAATCCTGTACTAATTAGCCTCAGTCTTTTCACATGAAACAAAGTGTTTCAAAACCTCCTTTTTTCTTTATCTGAGATTCCCTGATACCTTTGCAACCTGAGAAAGACTTAGATGACCACGGTGCCAATGTCACAGCAAAGCAGGCTGCAGGCTCGGGAGAGAGGACTGCCCAACTGGACACCAGCAGGGCCCTGGCCGGCCCTGCCGTGGGAGCTGGGGCAGGGCAGCTTTCTCGGAGCCGGAAATTCTGAAGATACAAGCTAAGCTCGCTGGGAGCAAGATACATCCATTTCAATAATAAGTATAAAGTAAGCATGCTTTTATTTTGTTAACAAAAACTGTATAAACATTGCATCACTATTAAAAAGCTGGGGAAGCACGAATCCTCTACAACACACACTGGGTATCAGGCATCCACCGAGGAAAAGAAGGCCTCCAGCACCATGATGGAGTGAAGGAAAGAGCCAGGAACAACGGAGATTGGGTCCGAAAGGGGAAAGGGAATCAGAAAGACATCACTTTGGATTCTGGAAGGCACAAGCATGAAACAGAATACAGATATTCTCTTTAAAAAAAACGGTACCCTTACTTTCCTCGAGTCTTAATTCATGGAAAAAATGGATTTCCTTTCATTTTCTTCAGGCCAAGAATAGTGCTAAAAGTACCAGTCACCAATATTTCTTAGGAAAGATCAAATGTAATATTCAACACTAACCTTCCCCCACAACAACGGTGAAGCAGAGACTCTTAGGAAATTAATAATGCCTTCTGTGGAGACAAGAACCAGAAAATCCTGATGAATTCTAAAAGCAAGTTCTTCTTTAACCCTTTGAGGAATTCTAACATGACAATTTGCAAGAACTAAAAAATACCATGAATATACATTTCATTTAAAATAATGGAGCCATGCCCTAACTGGTTTGGCTCAGTGGAGAGCGCATCAGCCCGTGGACTGTAGGGTCCCAGTTTCAATTCCAGTCAAGGGCACATGCAGGAGTTGCAGGTTCAACCCCTAGAAGGGGACATGCAGAAGACAGCCAATCAATGATTTCTTGCATCATTGATGTTTATTTCCTTCTCACTTCTTCTCTCGTAATCAATAAAAATATATTTTAAAAAATAATAATAATGGCCGAAACCGGTTTCGCTCAATGGATAGAGCGTCGGCTTGGGGACTGAAAGGTCCCGGGTTCGATTCAAGTCAAGGGCATGTACCTTGGTTGTGGGCATATCCCCAGTGGGGGGTGTGCAAGAGGCAGCTGATCGATGACTCTCTCTCATCAATGTTTCTAACTCTCTATCTTTCTCCCTTCCTCTCTGTACAAAATCAATAAAATATATTAAAATAATAATAATAATAATAATAATAATAATAATAATGGAGCCATGACCTACTAGGTTGGTTCAGTGATTCAGTGTCGACCTATGAACCAGGAGCTTAGGGTTCAATTCTGGTCAGGGCACATACTGGGACTGTGGGCTCGATCCTCAGGGTGGGACGTGCAGGAGGCAGCCAATCAATGTTTCTCTCTCATCATTAATGTTTCTCTCCCCCTCTCCCTCTCCTTTTCTCTCTGAAATAAAAATGTATTTCAAAAAAATAATAAAATAGTGAAGCCAACAGCATGTTTACACAATTTTCTTAATTTATCTCACGGAGTAAGAGTGTTTGAGCCACAAAGATTAAAACACAAATATTATAGAACAAGGAACAAGTAAACTCAACAAAACAAGTGCTTAAAGTTTTACTATATTAAATTTAACCATATAATATATTTGGAATAAACTGCTAGATTCTGATTTTAAGCTGTTAGTATCTGCAAGTAAATGAGACTATTTTTCCCCCCAATTTCTGCAAATATTGATATTTCAGAAAATTTGAAGGCATGTGTCTTACTCAGTGAAAACTTAAGGTTCATTTTGAGGCACAGGGTATTATTAAATTTAAAAGTATATTACCCTTTGCATTATTATAAGCAGAAAGAAATACTATAATTGGCTATTGCTCTTTCACAGTGCTGAGGCCAGCGGCAGTGTGTCGTTAGTCTTAATTCTAAGTCTGTGCTATTCTGATCTTACACTTAAAAAAAAAAAAATAGTCATAAACACCTGAAAAGAGACACATTTCAAAGATCATTTAGATTACACAGGAAGCCCTACTCTTGTCACATGGCCAAAAGACGCTGGAACATGGAACAAGTGTTTGGAAAACGTGGCTGTTGGACAGGTTTGTGCCAAAGGAGAAAGTGTGTGAAAGCAGAGCCTGGGAGAACTTGCCTCCCCGCAGCACCACAGCCACTGCATTCTGAGGGCAAGTCTATCCACACAGTGAGGGACACAGCAGACCACAGCAGCAGCACAAGCCCTCCAAACCCGGGCGTTAGGTGTGTGTGATGTCAGCCCGTGTCAAATACACACAGGCCTAAGTGACACACACAGCAGAGAAAAGCTCAGCCGGCCTCACCCCGTAATTTCACCCTTCCCAAGCATGTTGTGGTCTGGGCCCTGGAGAGTGTCTGGGACAGAAACGGAATGGCAGGCATCCCACCGGCCCGGCCACAGAACACCCTCCACAAGCTACGCTGCGACTACATGGAACAATCTGGTTGAGTGCAGTGCCCAGAGGGTGTGCTCACATGCCAGGGGGCGAGGACACAGGGGACAGCGCTGAGCCTGCTGCCAGGAGTCCACTCCGAGCATGAGCACTGTGGCTCAAACCAGGTTTCACTCAGAGGACTCCAGCTTCCTTTCAAGCTGGAGAGGGGAACATTTAAAATTCAGCTGGGGTTTTTCACTAAGTGCATTAAAACCTCATTAGAGTCAGCCAACCCATAATACTCCCGTACTTTCTCCATAGTATCGAGGAGCGAAAAATATACGTATTTATATGTAACTGTTTCAAATAAGATCAAAGGTAACTGGTATGTCTAGATTAAAAAGGGTCAATGACTTGAACCGAAAAGTGCACCTTCACACGGTCCCCTGGACAAGAAACATCAGCACAGGCTGCTATGCCAGAGGCCAAAGGCATCGGTCCAAGCTCAGTGACAATTTTATAGGTAGCAGCTCGTCTTCCGAGTCTAGTTTCGCTTACATTTCACGGACTGTATTTGCTATAGGAGGACATCTGTCTCCTTTTAACCAAGGGACACCATTGGAAAAGAACCCAGGGCGAGGGGCATGAGATGGAAGCTGCTGTTAAATACAGAAAGCTGGTTAAGCTTCATTCATCCAGAAACACTTTCTGGACTGATGAACTTGCAAACAGTCAGAGAAGCCAAGATAAAAACTAATCAGGAAAAGGTGTCCCTGCCATCCCAACAATAAATTACGGCAGCCACCTCCCTCCAGACACAGGTACTAACGTTAACTTCTTAGCCATGGTAGTCTAAAACTGTGGCGCCCTGTCCTACACCTTTCAGCTAAGAAACCGTACGCTAACATGTATCCCTCTGTTAACACTGTGCACGTGAACGAACAATTCAGCATCCACCATTAAAACTCGAGTCACCGGGGAGAACAAACTCCACTTACACCAGACCAGAGACACACGGGAGAGAAAAATCATTGAGGAGGAGGAGGTAGAGATTACCATGATTTCTCCTGGGAACGTCTGGCAAGTCTGACTGGTACTGAGGTGAGTTTCTCGGTGAATGGTTTTCAGGTAGTTTCTTGGAGGTCTTCAGAGGACCCAGTTCTCGCTCCTTGAGCTCAGCTATGTTTTCTGCAATTTTAATGTCCGTTTCCTTAGGAAACATACATGTCTGCATTCCCTCCTTCGTCTGGCATTCCGAAGAAGTGTGATGGGCGACCACTGTGCTTTTCAGTGTGTTCTCCTCTTTGCTCAGTAAGTTTTTGGGAAAGGTTAAGTTCTTTTGCAGGTTGACGTTGACGCTGCTGGCATACTTGAGGTGTGTCCAGTTCTCGCCCGTTAGATCAGAGCACACGTCCTCTTTGGCAGCAGCCAGGGGGCCGCCTGGGGCCGCCGCTGGTTTGTCCTCGGCAGCTAGGCTGGCGCTGCTGGCGCTGCTGGCGCTCGGGGCGCTGGGCTTGTGTTTGCTGTAATAGACGGAGCACTTGTGCTTCTTCTGGGAGTGGCCGTAGGTCGCCGGGCTCCTCTTCGCAGCGTTCTGCATCCTGCTCTGCGGAGTGTTCACCGGGAGGCAGCTCTTCCCTCTGCTTTTGTCCGTGGGGCCATAGGTATCGAGGAAGTTCTTGCAATTGCTTCTGAATCGAAGAGAGGCAGGGAAAAAGCACTTAAGAGAGAGCCACACCGAATAAAACTCTACCTGTCTGTGTTTGAATCCATGAGGGAGAGAGGTAGCACATGGGGACCGAGTTCTACCTTGCTTGTTCTAAACGTGAGTTCAAAAAATGAAGTCCTGCAGAAACCGGTTTGGCTCAGTGGATAGAGCGTCGGCCTGTGGACCGAAAGGTCCCAGGTTCGATTCCGGTCAAGGGCATGTACCTTGGTTGCGGGCACATCCCCGGAAGAGGGTATGCAGGAGGCAGCTAGCTGATCGATGTCTCTCTCTCATCGATGTTTCTAACTCTCTATCCCTCTCCCTTCCTCTCTGTAAAAAAAACACACAAAACAAAACAATAAAAAATATATATATATATATTTTAAAATGAAGTCCTTACGGGAAATCTATATTATAATTAAATAAACGTTACAGCTGTCATGCAAGGACAAAGAAAACTTTACGAAACAAAGTTGCAGTCAACATTTACATAGGTTGAAATAAAATTGGAAATCGGTGATATCGAAGGCGAGAAGCAGCCCCGCCCACACCCATTCCCCAAGAATGCTTACTTGTGGGAATGGGAGCCGATGCCCTCCATCGGACTGCCGCTCTGCGGTGAGGAGGAGCCGGCATTCTGCCTCTGCCTCGTTTTCACGAACTCCATGAGGATGTACTGTGCTTGCTGGAAGGCTATTAAAATCACACCCAGCAGGGACAAACTGGGAAAGAAGGCAACAAGGTTCACTGTGGTTCTGACGGGCATTAAAAAGCCAGATTTATTCTAGAAGAGCAGCAAATGGTTGACAGATAATGTCCAATGTTATAGCATTAAAATTCCATAAGACGCGTGACATCATCATTTCTGACATTTCTTAAAGACAAATAAAAAAACACCCACGTTTTTAAAAACGTGCATATTTATACGTCTGACATTTCAATTCCATTTCAGAAGATGCTTCCAGGATAAAATCGCTCTGAAAGGACCACTGTAGTTTTCCAACCTCAAATTTCCATTGCCGTGGAGCGAGTACAAGTGCCATGTATATGCCTCCCACCAGGACCGCCAATGAACACACGTGGCTCACAGCTGTCCATGTGACCTGCAGGTCCTATGAAGCTCTTCCTGTTCGTTTACTGTTATTATACTAAAGCTTTCCAGTTACTACTTTCTCTACTTCACGTAGGTCAGGGTTCCTTTAACATAAACTCCACTTAATTCATATGCTTTGATTGCATGTTGGCAACACACAAGGTCACGCAACTCGCCTGCATGGCTCCCCCACTCGGTGAGAGACAGTGAGAAAGGTGGTAGTTTACCTGACAAAGAAGACTGTAAGCCTCCAAAACGACTCCTCCCAGCTGGGCCCTGGAACCACGTCCGCACACAAAGGCAGCAGGTGATGGGGGAGGGTCACGTTGAGAGTGAAGCGAAACTCCAGGTCGGCTGCCGTGACGAGCGTCAGCTCACGAATGACCCAGGAAGAGGTAAAATCTGGAGTAAACCTGGTGACAAAAAGATTCATCTTGGTAAACTTTAATTTTAGGCACAAGACATAATAATCATCGTAGCAACATTTCTTAGGTACTTGTACAAGAGGGACCCTTATATAAAAACAACCTAAGATATTTTACCAAATAAAAAAATTCTCCCCCCGCCCACTCAACATTAAAAACATCACAAAACTTAGATGAGGTTAAAGCTCTGTGCTTACACAATGCTGATATCTCGCGATGTGTTTGGGAGCAGGGAAAACTGATGGCAATCTAGCACTTCGAACCCATAGCCTTGGCAATTATACCCATTGATTTTCAGAGACGTCACAGTTATAGGAAGTGGTCCGATATTCTCAACTTTAAAGTTCTTTGTAATAGATAAAATTTGCTTGCTGTCTTTCAGTTCTAGTGAGGATGAAAAGCAGCAGTTATTACATATGAACTGCAAAATGGATATACAATAATTTATTGCAACGAACAATGAGCACAGTAAAATGTTTTTTAAAAAATCAATGGAAACTCAAAGCATAATCTCTATCTAATTTCTTGAACATTTATAGATTTTTGTTATATTGCCAGAATAAGATAAAAATACTTAAGTCAAATTTTTTAAAAGTTAAACAATCAGCTTAGGTACCAAAAGAATAAAAATCTCTGTTTTGTTCTTTTCCTTATTAAAGGTTAAGGTTAAAAGTTTATTCTTCTCAGAAGCCAAATCATTTGGATTTATCACTAGCTCTACGCACCCTCTCCCCCTCAGACCCCCTCACACTGAAAAGGGGCCAGTTAAGAGGCTGTGTGTGCTGCTCTGTAAAGTCATCACGGCTGCTAGAAACGCAGTTCAAAGACCCACTATATTAAGGAGAAGTAAATAATTAAATCCTTGCAAATAAATGAGAGCACATTTTATTATTATTATTAAATATTAAAAAGGGAAGAGTCCTCTCAGTTTAAAAATACTCCTGTAGCCCTGGTTGGTATGACTCAGTTGAAGGTCATCTTGTGCACCAAAAGGTCGCTGGTTCGATTCCTGGTCAGGGCATATATCCAGGTTGCATGCTCCCTGGGGTGCATTCAGAAGCAACCAATAGATGTTTCTCTCTTTTTTCCCTCCCTTAATCAAGCCAGCTCTATTTTAAGTACTCATCAGCCACTCTCTAAAAACCAATAAAAACATATTTTTAAAAAATCCTATAAATTTATAACCAATAATCTAATATTTTATCTGGTTCTATAGATTTTATATTACTCTTTAGTTCTATCTCTCAAGGTCAGCTCAAAAATGAATGAATGAATGAATGAATGAATGGAAAATGATGAAAAAATTTTAATGCAAAGTGGCTCATAAATCTTTTCAAAGTCAGTGTTCTTTCAGCATAGCTTTCTAAATTAAAAAAAAAATTCCAATCAGGCATTAAACCAGTGCTACAAATTATCCAACAGTTATACTAACTAGCTTTCTCCATAGAAAACATATTGTTACACTCAAATGCTTTCAATGTATTCCCGAAATTAAAAAGGATAACAGGCAAACAAGAATTTACCAGAAACACTTTACATCTCATTTGATCTTTGTTTTGTAGTTCCTCAGAAAATTCTTGAAACTAATAAAAGTAGCTTAAAAGCATTTTAATTTAAATACATGCATGATTTAGAAATTTTTAATGCAGTGTTTAACTAAATTTGTAAGTCTCCCTGTTCAGTACAGTAGCCAGTAGACACATAGAGCTACTTAAAGTAAATGAAAAACATTTAAACTTGATTTTCTTAATCACCCCGGCTCTCCTGTAAGTACTCATCAGCCACACGTGGGAGTGGCTACTGTGCTAGATGGCACCGACACAGAGCACTTCCGTCACTGCAAAAAGCTCCACTGGGTCTTCTCTCCACCAGCTGTGAGCTTCCAGATTAGGTCGCTGATAACCAAATTAACAGATCCATACTATTTATCTTAAACATCAGAAACTATGCTAGGAATACAGACACTATGCTGTACTTTCCCCCTCTATATCTATTACATTTAAGTTGACTATTATCCTAATTGAGTGATATCAGCCATTTAGGCTCAGATGTTTGCCTTATGTAATTATTTGCATGGAAACGATGAATTTACTGTAAACATTTTAAAAGAAGCTCCCAGGAGCGTCCTTTTGCCCCTGGCTTTCGCCCCCAGGTCCCCCTCTGTCAGAGCGCCTCGCAGGGGACTCACGTCGCCGGCAGTCCATCAGCGTGGACTCGGGCACCTTGAATCGGAGCGAGCCTCCGGGGCCGGGCAGTCTCCCGCCCACTTTCAGCAGCTCGCGTGCTCCGAATCCTTCCACAGCAATCATGTCAATAACAGTCAAGTTATTCCTTTAAGGGAAAGGAGAGACAAATAAAAGGCATTACAATAGAGTCGCTTGTACTTAAATATTCCTCGTTAGCAAAAACATGTTTGCTATTTTGAAAAAAACCCCACCCATTTAAATAGCATAGCCTCTCCTGACAAGCACAGAACAAGTGGAATATAGCAAGAAGGAGTGAATGATCAAGATCCCTCTTCAATCTCGGCCAAGAACGAAAACCCATGTATTTCTAATAACCAGCCACCAGGGTGGTGATCCGACCTCCAAAACAAAACAACAAACAAACAACAAAGTAAATGAGAAGGCCACAGAGAAACACTAACAAAGACAGACAAATTCATAACAACTGTTCACATGGTGAATGAAGGCGTTTTCATAGTATATGTGGTTATGAGAAATTCTGTCTTAAGAATAATTCTCGAAGTAAAAGCCCTACAGTTTATTCTGAACCAAAGATTTAAAATATCATCCCACAAGTAACATACATCTACTCAAGTTCTTACTAAACAGTAATTTAGACTAGCTTTTGCTTTTTCATTAACTGAAATCATGATTCCTAGGATGAAAAAGTGAAGTGGAAATGATGGTTAAATGATGCAGACTGGCCGAAAGCCAGTCATCATTAATGTAAACACTATAGAAGCAGAGAAAGAATTCATTTCTCATTATGTAAAATACAGTTATCGTCACATCTTTATTAAGTGATTCAAAACCTTTACTTGCCATTTAAAAACTTCTAAGTGATATCAGGTGATTGGTATTGTTTACAGAAAAATATTGTGTATCAAATCAGAAACCACCAAAAATAAATTAACTACTAACAAAAAAAAATGTAGGTTTTCTTTTGGAGTCTGGGATAGTATAATCTGGCATGAGGTGAAGTTTATATCTATACTTCCTATGATCTTAATTCTTCAAAAGAAAATGGGTTTAAAATGAAATATACCATCATCAAAGCATGAGGAGCCTTAGTTAAAATGCTTAAAAGAACTTTCAGTTCATTTTCTTTTCAAGTAGCATTCCCTTGTAGAAGAACAAATTCATACAATATACAATATACTAGATTTCAGAATAAGAAAGTTGTTGCCAGCTGATCTGACACTAGAAAAGCTTTAACAAATAACTAAAATGTCATTTACTAAAAATTAAATTTGTGCTAGACTTCTTGCCAATGAAGAGAAGTCTAGATTTGCATTTACTGTACATTTTTGAAAGAAGACTCTCACTAAAGACTACTTAAAGATGAAAAATAATTAAGAGTGGAAAACATTTAGCTGCTTAAATCAACTAGCAATAGAAGGCTTGTTTAAAAGGAAGGGGGGAAAACGTAGAAAGAGCCAATGGGCTCAGATAAGCACGTGTCCTTTGGGGCTACAGAGAATTCCAGACGCAAGAGCGACAGAAATGAGAGTGATGTACATCCAAACACTGTGCAATGAAAAGTATACAACAGCATTTTACTGATTTTTCTGAGCTAAGACAGGGAAGTACATGCCTGTGTGTGTGCTGGGAGTATGCACTGGTATGTATTTGTGTGTTCTGCCCTCTGTGACAGAAGTAGATGAGACGCTGAGTGAAATGTACTTCCCCTCATGGATGGATGGGCCCACACTCCGTACTGCACAGGGAGGAAAGTGAAGCAGGGATTAAATGTGGAGCCTCAGGAAGCCTCTCTTCTCAGACACTGTCTCTTGCTACCATGCGACAGAGAGTAAGGCCCGACTAAGCCGTAAATGTTAGCGCTCAGCTAAAGACATCACATATTCCTGAGAGGAAAAATTCAGACAGAGGAGCCGACGAGAAAGAAACTCTCCAGGACGAGGGGGTCACACCTACCGAATTAGAATGAGTGAGGTAACTTTTCCATAGTCAGCTGGCGTGAAAATGACACCGACCCTTTTCGTTGCCAGAGGCTGCAAGTGCAAGTGGAGGCTGCCAGACCTGGATCCCTCAGAATGCACACCCTGCGGATTTAATAAGTGCAATTCAACAATTCCTGTAAAGCACGCTCTGTCTTCATTATGTGCACTTTAGAGCATAAACATGATTGCTTTTAATTCCCAGATGTGACCACCCTAATCAACCTGTCGAACTTGTTTTTCCCGAGAGTTCACACCAATAAACAGTTCCCAAGCCATAGCCGAGAGGTACTGGCAGCGGCTGCAGGACAACCCACAGGGATGCTGGAAAGGGGACTTGCTTCCTGGCTTGGGAAGGAGTGGGGGCTAGAAGCCTTCAATGCAAAGATGTGTTGAGTGGAAAACTTCACTTAGAAAACAGACCCAACAGCCTCTACTTGAACATGATAAGGATCTGGGCAAACCATCCCCAACTGCTGCCTAACCCCAAATCTCTTTGATATTGAATTTGTATAGAGACCATCTTTATTATATGTAGTCTCTCCACTCTGAAGACTTTCGTTTATTCACATCCTCCTTTATTCTAAGATTTTTATCTTTTTCTGAATAAATCTTGTGGTCTAAATTTAATATTCAAGATTTAGTTCTTTATCATTTTCTCTCTTTCCACATTTTTTTAACTCCTCTTTAAAAACACTTGATTGATTGCTAAGAGCTATAATCACATAATCTGCATAGTAATATTTCTCTTCTTTATGTTTCTAATTTTTAAATTTGTCTTACCCTTCCATTGTTGCTAACATTTCCCATGCTATCTGAAAAAAGAAATATTGATGGTATCTGATTCATTTTCATTAGAATGATAAGCTTCATGAAGGCAGAAACCCTGCTTTATACATACAATAGGAATATTGAATAAGAAGCTGCTGATGTGCCCAGCTGGAGTGGTTCAGTGGTTGAGCATCAACCCATGAACCAGGAGATTGCCCTTTCACTCCTGGTTAGGGCGCACGCCAGAGGTTGTGGGCTTGATCCCCAGTAGAGGGCGTGCAGGTGGCAGCCAATCAATGATTCTCTCTCATCATTGATGTTTCTCTCTCTCTCTTTTCCTCTCCCTTCCTCCTTCTGAAAATCACAGAATGCGATTTGTAAGGAGAATAGCAATATACATAGAGCCACAGAGTGAAAACTAAGGAGCAAGGATGGCAAATCCCAGTCAAACAACATCCTTGCCCCATGACAAGTATTGACGCGAGACCTTCTGAGCTCCCAGGCTTTGGAATTCCAGAGTCAGCCAGCCTCATAGAGGAGGCCACTGTCGTAGAAACTGAGTGACTTGCTACACACATGAAGCCAGTTCAGCAACAAAAACATCCTTTTTTGATATATTTGTTTTTATCTCCTCTTGCGCTAAATAGAATTTGATGGCGCCAAGGAATCTTAAAAGAATTATCATTCTGGGGTCTCAAATTGTATGGGCTTCTACATAGGCCTGATTTCAATTGCTATTTCTTCACTCACATGAATCAAAATCACCAAATTAAAATGATTTATGAGCTAACAAGAACCTGTTGTATTCATTCATTGGAAAAATCTGCTACATATATCAAATGCCTGGAATATGAAAATAAGAGAGCCATATATATTACAGAAAGACACTTGAAATATAAATCAGCGAGGACCATATGCTACGTGTCTAGTTGGTAAGCATTCATTTTTCTGTGTAAAGACGACACCCTACCCGGGAAGGGCAAGCTTTGGTGAGCTGGAATTCGCCAGTTGTGAAATTAATTGTCTGCATGTCGGAGCCAAACCTATAAAGACAAAAAAAAGTTTAAAATAGCATTTGTCGCCAATAAAGAATAAAATGTGCGTGTGTTTGTGTGTGTGTGCGTGCATGCACATGTACTTGCACATAAACTACTCTGTCCCAGCCCCCGCACCGTGCCTGGCACATGATAAGTGCTTAATGATGTGAGCAGCATGGATGAGAAGGTAAAGAAGAAGATGGTGACAAAAGCTCAACCTGTGAAAAATTTTTTTTGCTCTGAATGGTCCCGAACTATGGAAGGGACTCTGAACCAAAGGTCATTTCATCTCCTGGTTTAATGTCCAGTAGACATTTGGCAATGTCTAGAAATATTTTTGATGTCACAGCTGGGGAGGTCTAAGTGGCATCTATTGGGCAGAAGTCAGAGAGGCTGCTAAACAGCCTTTCAACGCAGAGAATAGCCCTCTACCTGCTCCCAACAGAGAATCATCGGGTCCAAAATGTCAATCGTGCTGAAGTTGGAAAACCCTAGGACCAGGGTCGGTCCTACTGAGCCCAAAGGAAGAAAAACTGTAAGCAAAACTGTAATTGTGCGAAAATAAGATATAACAGATGTGAACAAACAGCATCCTCATCGTATCCTGTTTAACAGCACTAGATTAAAACATACCAAAACACTAAGCTCAGGACTTATGTGAACCTGAAGAACATGGTAAGCCAGATTCTAGGAGCATTTGTGAAAAATTCATGATTGCGAAGGTTTCCTAACCAGGAAAAGTATGAGTCTACGGGGAAATGGACTTGACGTAGTAACCCTGAAAATGCCACGTAACAGACAGAACTGGTCATTGCCAACAGGTTCTATGCACCAAGGGGCTGGGTGCCCAAGGTGCACGGGTTAATACTGTGTGCAACCACATGTAGAGTCCAGGTGAAAAGCAGGAAGGACTTGAAATAATTCCGAGTCTGAACGGTGTTTCCCAAACCCCCCGCCAGGGAGTCTTCCTGGCTGGTGCTTACCGTTTGTGGAGCAGGCGCACAGCAGCCTCGGGCTTAGGATACAGAGAGAGAGGCAGCAGCTGCAGGGACACCGGCAGAGAGGAAGGGTTCTGCACCACGAAGTACTTTACCTGCACACGGGAAAGGGAAATCAGCCCCTGGGGAGAAGCCAGCATCACTCCTGCAATATTCCTGCGAAGAGCTGCATGACCTGAATGCAGTCACGAGGAGCCACCACACAGATCACACTGAGGGACATTCTAGGAAATAAAGGGCCCGCACACTTCACAAATACCTCCGCCATGAAAGACAAAGAAAGGCTGGGGAAGGCTAAGGGAGACAAGAAAGACTTGACCATGCAATGCACAATTCTGAATTGGATCCTGAACCAAGTGGGGGGGTAGGGGGGATTGCTATAAAGTATGTCCATGGGATGATTAAAAATGTTTGAATATAGACTGTACATTAGATGACCTTATTAGGGTTAATGTTACACTTGCTAATTTTGATAAGTAGACTCTGGCATAGAAGATGCACCTGCTCTTAGGAACTTTACACTGATGTAATCAGAGGGAAGGGGCATAATGGGTGACACTCAAATGGCTTATAAAAATATATGTGTGGGTGGACAGAGAAGGGCAATGACTAAGTGGGCGTGGCAAACATTAAATATGGAGTGAGCCTTTGTGAAGGGCAACTGGACGTTCTTGGATTTATTCTTGAAATTGTTCTCTATGTTAAAATTATTTCAAATTAAAAAAATTTTTAAAGTAGTCTTAGAATGTTATCCCTAAGGAGCCCGATGAGTGTCTGATGAAGACTAGATCATCACTCAGATCATGTGTGATATGTGTCTTTGGCAATGAGACACACTGTGAGATGGAGCGTAAGCCTGCTGGTGCCACTTCGCTCCCTTTGCCCGTGTCGCCCTTGTCAATGAGACACACACGCAGGGAGGAGAGTGGGCAGCGGAGTGAGCCCCGATTGCTGTGGCATCACAGGGCCTCTTCACCGGCTCTGGCCTCCTCTCCCAGGAGCTCCTTGTTACAAAACAAACTGATACCTACTTCAGCCAGTGTTAGTCTCCATTTTCTGTTGTTATTCAGTTGAAGACTTGCTCAACTGAAAAGATTTTTTAATTGGACATAAGCCTCATAAAATGTATTTGTTCTGTGCACTTTCAGCCTGCTTAGATTTCTATTCCTTCTTTTGTTCTTCTGATACCTCCCTACTAAGCATATGGGTGTCATTTAGAGTGAATTTAAGTGAATTTTGTTTCTGAAACAATGTTCTCAAGGTGTAACTTAAAAACCCAGGAGATGGGGTGTCGCTGATAAAGGGGTTAGAAGACACAGGCTCCTCACCACGCTGTTCCTCAGGGCAGTTGCGCTGAAGTTCAACACGAGGCCTGGCTCTGTAACCAAACGAGGCAGAAAGAAAACAAAGGATTCCGACTCCTTGGATCTCTTCAAGGGGGCAAACCGAGTCATTCCTAAAACATTCCTCCTGTGTAATTCACAAAGAAAGGCGAGGTTATAAAAAAACAATCTTGACACAAAAAAAGAGGAAATTATTAACTATATCACTCCTACTGGAAGGAGCAAGCAAGGGGTCTTGGGAAAAAATGGCTTATTCTGGGGCTGGGGAAGCATAAGCATAAGATGATTCTGGAACAGCCTGTGTTACAAGAAAGCAAGGAAGGTTAAAAAAAAAATAATAATGGGGATCTCTGGCCAGTGTGGGTCAGTTGGTTGGAGCATCATCCTGTACACCAAAAGGGTGCAGGTACAATTCTGGGTCAGGGCACATACCAGGTTCAGTCCCCAGTGGGGGCATGCACAGAAGGTAACCAATCGATGTTCTCCTTCACATCAATGTTTCTCTCTTTTTACTTCCCCTAATTCCCTTCTCCTCTCTCTAAAATCACTAAGTATATCCGCAGGTAAGGATTTTTTGAAAAAAATTATGAGGACATGTCAAAGAAACCCACAAACTAGCCTGCAGGAGTTCCCAATAGCCAAATCTGGGACAAATTTGCATAGAAAATAATAATGATGCCTGGCCAGCATGGCTCAGTGGTTGAGTGTGGACCTATGAACCAGAGGTCAAGGTTCAATTCCAGGTCAAGGCACATGCCTGGGTTGCATGCTTGATTCCCCAGTAGGGGGAGTGCAGGAGGCAACCAATCGATGATTCTCTCTCATCATTGATGTTTCTTTCTCTCTCTCCCTCTCCCTTCCTCTCTGAAATCAATAAAATATATACATATTAAATAAATAATAATGATCAAAGAATCCATAGTGATGCTCAGTAAGAATATAAAAATGAAGAAGATACTTAGAAACATCACCATTTTGTAGCCATCAGCTAATAACTGACCAGGGCAAGCATTATCAATGAATGCTAAAAGCATGGGTGAAACATTCCTCGGGAACAGTAAATTTATATGATCTCAAGTTATCATCCATTTATTAATTGCAAAAGAAAATACATATCAACAATGGAGAAAGATCTGTCACACCTACAAGAGAGAGAGTCAAATGACTCAACTTAGCAATGTCAGTAATGGGACAAACTGACTGATGTCCCTCCTGAGGTGATGATAAGGACACAAGACCAATCAAGTCCTTAGCACTCTTCCCAAAAATGCCTAACATGAATGTAAACTTGAGAAAACAATAAAAACATTCCAAGTATTGAACATTCTATAAGACAACTTCCGAAGACTCTTAAAATGTGAGCATTATGAAAGATGAAAAAAAGGTGGAAACACTATTCCAAAGAAAATTAAGGAAACAGACAACCCCATGCAATGCATGATCCTTGAATAGATCTTGGACTTTAAAAAAGGAAAAAGAAAAAGATAGCTATAACAGATATTTGTGGGTGAACCAGGGAAATCTGAATATTAGGTGGTATAATTGGATCAATGTTAAGTTTGTTGGGTATGTAATGGCAGTGTACCAGAATATTTAACTTAGGAAAGAAAAGTATTTCCTAATAAAGTATTGAGGGTTACAGTATCATGATATCTACACCTTAAAAAGGTGTACATGTTTGTGTGCACATAAATATAGATACAGATGTAGGGAGAGAAATAAAGCAACTATAAGATGAGAACCACTGTTGACTCTAAATTAATACTGTATTTGAGTATTCACTGCACTATTCTTCCAACTTTCCTGAGGTTTGAAATTTCTCAAAATAAAAAGCTAGAGAGAAATATCAATTACTAAAAATTCAGTGCTGAAAGCTCAACAAAGTAGCATGTAATTGCATCGCCTTTATGCTGAGTGAAAGAAATGAAGGAAGGGGAAGACCTACTTGCAGACGTCACTGTTTTTAAATTTCTTCCATCTCTCATACAACTTATTTGCGAGTTCAAAATCCACATCCCAGGTAGACTGATCCAGAGAAAGGCTCCCTTCCCAATGAGGATTTTCTGCAAGTGAGATCAGGTGTAATGTTTACATCTACAGAAAACACAATGCAACGAGTAAATACTGCCAAGGCTACTGTCAAACTTCTCAAACTGACAGGAGTGTCGAGTCAATGTGTGCTCTCTTTCCTCTGACTGCTTTATTGAAAGTCCCTCTGATTCAATGGCAAATGATAATATACCAAATCAAACAAACATGTATAAAACAAAAACTAAACTGAATTATGTAAACAGAAAAGACACATGGCTCATGAATACAGCCTGAGACAAGCTGAAATCACACACGGAACATTTTTAAAAGCTTTAAATTTAAATTTAAGGCTAAATGTATCCGTGTAAATGCCAGTGATCACCAAAGTCTTTTGGGTTATTATGTAGAATGCTGATGAACCGATCCTCAAAGGAGGGCAGAGACCAGGGGCTCAGCCTAGAGAAAGGTGTATATTTATATTTATAAACTGGTCACTTATTCAGCTTGCCCTCTCTATTTATTTGTTCTGTCTTGCCTGTGCTAAAGAGCATATCAGAGTGAACAAAGAAACCTCTGGACTGAAATCCTCTCCTAAGATTGGACATTTTAGTAAATCAAAAGGCAGGAACGAAACTAGAAAAAGCTTCTACATCAGCCCTATGGCCTTCAGTCTCACACAACGACTAGCACTCCCATAGATATCTATGCTGCTGTAGCTAAAGTATTCAAAGGCAAGTCCAAATTATTTTTAATAACTTCTAGTCAACTCTTTGTTTAAAAGAACCGGAATATCGGGATCTTCCCATTTTTCCTGATAGCAAGGTTGCTAGGATGATCAAATAATGTGTCTGAGAAAAACCACAAGGACCTCAGGATGCTTCTGGAGGATTCCTAACAATGTCATGCCATTCTGTGAGGGATCATGCTCTTTAAGAATAGAAGATGATGCAATTCCGTTCACATGACTAATTATCCCATCTACCAATGCTATTTTTCCTCCCTACTGCCCACCCAACCCCCAACTAGAGTTCTACAGAAAGCCTCAGGGCAAAATACTTACCTGCTTTTGATTTTCCCATGAAATAATGCATGCCACAATGTGCTATCACTTCAAAACCCAGAGTCCCTTCCTAGATTGAAAAGTAATATATGAATAACTTAAAACACAGCACTACACATAAAAATCCTAATGCACTCAAATGCAAAGCAGACATTGGCCTCCACCTCAGTGAACTTCCATTTAAGTTAACCAGAAGCTAAACCGCTAGAAAGTGCTTTCTTGGCTCCCTTCAACCCTTGAATGAGAGCTCTGCACTGCCTCTCCCAGGGAGAATCACAACAGGGCATTCTGTTCAGTAAGCACAGTGACAACCACGGGGCCCAAAAGACACCAAGCTGCCTTCTGAATTGAAGAAGAAATTAGTGTCAGGACATTCTTAGCAGGTTTTTTGAAAACTGTACTAGAATCCTCTGAGAAATTAAAAAAAAAAAATTAAAAAGCTAACTCCTAAGCTATTCAGGACATTCCAATTAGTGTCCCATTTCCTAGAGGAAGTATACACTTGCTACTCCCACCCATCCCTGACACCTGCCTGCTCCCTCCCACAGTCCTCTCCTTATAAACATCTCTTGATTAAAAAAAAAAAGAAAGAAAAGAAAAGAAAATTTCTAAGAAATCTTCCCTGCTCAAAATATGGATGAATGGAATTAACTTTACATTTTGTTTAGTTTTCAGAAGTCCTACTGTCAGGCTCACAGCTGAGCATGAGGCATTTCTATTTATAAAACACCAATGCTAATAAGTGAGAAAAAAATCATAAAGATGGTTGCATGAATGTCTCATAAAAATTAGAACCCAGCGTTGTACAGAATAGCTTGGATCAAAAAGAAGCAATAACAGTAACTAAATGAAAGGAAAGAAATATTAAGGAAAAAAATGAGACATGTTTAAGATAAGATCTAAATTAAACACCATTTCCCTAGATTTTAGAAAGCATTTTCTTCCTTGCAAACTTTTTCAGGCTTTAGATTTGGCCCATTAAAGACATTCTAGGATTATGAGCGGCTGAGAGTTACTTACCATAGGTCCAAATAAAGCATTTAACCATCTTATTTATCTCAATTCATTGCAAGTATGTGCTCAGAGCTCAACTGTGTTTTCTACAGCAAGCACACATTCCTTGCTCTACAAATTTTGGAAATAAATGAAAATGAAATCAATCTATTTGTGATGTCTTATTTCACTCAAGAACCTCAATTTTCTTTATGAAAAATTGTAACTTTCCAAATAAAGATTTCTACATCTAAAAAACTCACCATCTAAGATTGGTCTGGTAATATCCTTAGAGAGTCTTAAAGAATATGAGCTTAACTTAGTCAATAAAACCAAGCACTACAACTTCATAGAAATAAAAATTATAATACATATACAGTTTTATGAACGATACCTTGGTTGGTGCAGAGTAAATCTGTAGAGGTATTGCAAACATAGCACCTATGTTTGTAGTCAAAAATACATTGGTGAATAGATTTATGGCAATGTTTCTAATAGCAACTTTCAAAGAAAATATATTCCAACAGCCTGGAGGTAGAAATAAAGGGCCAGTGAAATTCAGAATCTAAAGACAAAAAAAAAAGAAGCAGGAGAAATTACTTTCCTAACACTAGTGATGATTGAAATCATTATAGAATATGATACTAAAGTTCTATACTTTGAGAAATATAATTTTACTCAATTATTTCCAGATCAAAAATTGAACTATTTGTATATAAACAATAGGCTTCAAATAATGTTTAAAATGCAACTGTTTGTAAGTTCCACAAAAGTAATTGTATAATTTTCATAACTGGCATTTTGCAAAAACCTACTCTTTTATCACGAACTGGGTTTATTTTTACTAAGTACAATCTTTTTAGTATAAATTATATATAATAAAATGTTTTAATAATGGTAAGAGCAAATGTCTCTAAAGGATATATCCTGATCTCTTTGAGATCCTTGAACAATAGTTTAACAAAGAGAGAGATCTTAAAAGAAATTCTGAAAACGTTAATAGAAAAATACTTGCTTTAAAATTGGTAAGAAAGCACTAACTTTTATAAATATTCATTTCATAGTATCTGACCATAAACAAAGCATGAAATAAAATAGGCTAAAACCTGGATGAAAACACCATGTGTACCTTCAAAAACTTCTTGGCCTCCTTGGAGACAAACACATCGTTTATGACGACGCTGCGGTCGAAATGGTTGAGGTACCACATTGTCCAAACTCCCGACGTGTTCTCGTGGATCTCCAGGTGGAACTGGGCAGCAGAAGAGTCCATTCTGAAATACCTGCGAACACAGAACGCGCATGCTCTCAGCCCTGAGGGCGAGACAACTGTGGGCATTCGATAGAGCCTCAATCACAAGAAGAGTCAGAGAGTGGATGTTCGCACTGGGAATTACCGCACAGGTCACTTCAGCCTTCTTCCCACAGAGCATCTGAAGGACAGAGGCCACCAGGCAGAACCAGGACCGGGTGCAGCTGAGAAACACGGCGGGAGGAAGGGGTTCTCCTCCCACACCTGGCTGCCTGGCCAAGAGCCCATGTCGTGAACTGAGTCTTTCACCTTCTTCTTTCCCATTCTGCAAACAACCCCTGTTTCTGTTGTCGGTAGGTGTGAAGGCAAGGAATGCAGCCCATGGAATCATACTAGCACTGGTTATATATTTTTTAATCATTTCTGAATGAACACTCACACACAAAACCCATAGGACTTCAGGGAAAGTGAGGTTAACCTACCCTGGGACCACCGGAGAGGAGAGGCAGGCTGTTAGTGTTGGAGTGCTTTTTGTTTTCTTCGTGACTTCTTTCACGCCACTATCACACAATGGAGCTGTTTTGAGGTATCAAGAAATAAGTGTCAAGTATAATATCTTTTATATCACTACACATAAACAAAAACAAGATATGTGTGTTCTTTATAACCTTCTTATTTCAGTTTTTGTCTCCACTGAAATCATGTGTGAGACATAAACGGGAAAATCCTTTCTCAAACCTTATCTTCTTTACTAGCTTGCTGTCAGTGATCTCAAACAGGGTATCTGCCACCCAACTGTACCCTCCCCCCTTTTATAAACCAACCTCTCACTTCTTTGTGGGTGGGGGGGAGAGTGTAGGAGGGAAGACTCAATGCATTGTAGCTTTCTTTTTATAATGATAGGCATTCTCCAAAAAGTAAGAGGAAAGCCAGCAGTCTGCCAGAGATGACGTATGCGACGACTGAAGCTCAGCTGGGCGGGGTGAGGAGCAGGTGGCGGCATGAGCAGGACAGAAATGCTGCCTCAGCAATATGCCGGAGCCTCTCAGAGACGGTGGGGATGCATCTCAGAAAGCCACTGCTTCATCCAAGCAGCAAGCTGCCCTTGAGCAGGGTCATACTACTCATTAAATCACTGGGATTGAATTCTTAACTCTAATACAAATACTCAAGTGGTTGTTTTTGTTGTTGTTGTTGTTTTAGCTATATGTATGATAAAAAAAAAATTACAACATGAATAAAGATGTGAAAATTAAATCTACTTTTCCCTCCTGACTTCCCAATTATCTTAGAGGAGCAGCTGCTAACAGATTTGTGAGCATCCTACCAGTTTTTCTATTTCATATACAAGTGCATGGATACTATTAAAAGCCCAAATGTACACACACCGCCCACATATGCTTTCCAATAGCTGCAGAATATACCCCGTGGATGAACTACAATTTAACCAGGCTCCTATCAATGGGTGTTTATGTTAGTTCTGTTGTCACAAACAATGCACATTCTGTAGATAGAGCTTTGAATATAACATATCTGCAGATAAGTTCCTAGAAGTAGAATTAAGGACTGAAGAATATATATGGGCATTTTAAATGTTCATAGATTGCCAATTTTCCCTCAAAAAACAAACAAACCACAAACCCATGTCTTCTTATACTCTTATCAAAAACATGAATGATGTCTTTTCCCCTAGTCATTATCAACACAGGAAGTTAACAATTTTTTTTACCAATCCAAGTAATAAATTATATCTCACTTGTCCCTTTAAATTTACTTTCCTTTCCGTATAAGTGACATGTTTTCCTGTTTAAAAATCCATTTGCATTTCTTTTCTTTTTTTAAAAAATGTTTTCATTTATTTTATTTTTTTAGAGAGGGGGAGAGGGAGAAACATGTTTGAGAGAGAAACATTGATTGGCTGCCTCCTGAATGGCCCCCACTGAGGATTGAGCTCAAACATAACATGGGCATGTACCCTGATCGGAAATCAAACCAGCAACCTCCTCGTGCATGGGTGACACTCAACCACCGAGCCACACTGGCTGTGCTATTTGCATTTCTTTACAGAAATCTTCTTAACTGTGAGTATGAACCAAAAGATAGGATTGGGTTCATGCTTCTGCATCGCATTCTACACAAAGCATCAAAACTAAGGCAGCACAATCTCTCTCTCTCCCTGTGAAGGGAGTATCTCCAAACACATTTACATTCTGGTCTTTCAAATCCCCCACGGAGTTACACTTTAAACTCAAAATCCTCTGCATGTGGCAGAACCAGAATGGCACAGACAAGCATCTTCTCCATCCTGATCTCAGAACAGTGAAGGCTGCAGGATGGAGAGCAAGCCCACTCTCTTTCCTAGAACACTGACTACTCTGCAGGGTAAGTCCTTTCTCAGAAAGAACTGCCATTGATAACAAACATAACAAGGCAGTCTCCAATATTTTTTAAATCTGTACCTTTGCAAGTAAAAGAGGCAATTTTTGTAAAGTTCGTAGTAGAGGAAGGTAGGAGCACCGGTTCAAACTGCAGAGACAGAGCGTCTCTCTGTGAGAAATGATGGACATCCTGTAACAACAGCAAAGAAATCCAGTTAGCACTCTCAGCTGGGCCACTGGGTATCTAATCTGAATCAACTCTGAAATAACCCAGGAGCTCAGACTGGCATTCGTACAGCACCTGTGCAGTACGTGTGTCTACAAGAGTACAAGGGGAGTGCTGACAACCTGCACCCAAGTAGGGGTTCAAGCCAGGGAAAAGGGGGTGCAATGAAAGCAGTGGAGAGCAGAGATAAGTGTTTCTGTATCAGCTCCTGAAAATTCCTCATGTTCTACAATGAAATACTTGTGAGTTGAACAGTTACTAGATATAAAGCATTTACAATTACCTGTATCCATATAAAGCTGTTTCCTGAATGTAATATATACATATTTACGGCCGAATCATCTGCCCAAAAGAATCAGAGTGAGGAGGTTAAAACAAAAAGTAATATCATTCTCACACATCACACATTTCTCTCTCTCAAAAAAAAAAAGTACCTCGTTTTGCAACACTACAATTGAAACTTGGAGCTATTTCTGCAGAGCATTCTTTTAAGTCACAAGAAAAAGGATACTTACGAAATATTAACCTACCAACATGGCTCTCTAAATGATAGATAAATGCTGAGTTTAGGGTCAGGACACTGCTCCTCTGGCTTCAAACAACCACCTGGACAGCTTCAAATATGGCTGTTCTTCCCTGGTGATTAGTCAGCCCCTCATTTCCTTATTTAGACAACCATACTTAGGAGAAATAAAACCTGGGATCTCAAACCATAACCTTCCTTTCAAGCCTCACCAACAGAAGTGGTCCCTATGGGGCAGGAGTCTTCTCTACTTTGATGTCTACACAGCCGTTCTGAGAATCACCAAAAGCTTGCAACAAGGAGACAAGAAAGCTCTTCTGCTGAATTATTCCTATAATCAATTCTCAAGTGTTGTTTGAACAACAATAAGAATGCCAATATCAAACTATATTTTGGAGCCTCTTCTTTTTCTGAATATGTACATGAGTATGGTGCGCCATTAAAAGTCTTGACAACCAATGGATGATACCAAGTACTACATTATAAATCTCATGGATCACATAATATGTGTCTCCAATAAAACTTCCTAGAAACTTAAGCTGATGAACTACGTTATTTCCGGTAAGCAGAGCTGTTTGCAAAAATAAAATTCATAGAATGAATATTGAAATTCCTACTACACTCATCTGTCAGGCATCAAGGAACGAACAGTATCCCATCAACTATTTAAAAAATACAAAACAGCAGGTCAACCGAGCTTCTGCAAATCAGTAAAACGGCAAGAGACACAAGATTTCCAACACTTTGTAAATGTTAATATTAAGTTGTTGTGCCCAGAATGCCATGAAAAAATGATTCCCAAGGAAACTTACAGACTAGTTTGCTTTTGTCCCTTAATTTACTCCAAAAATTTACTCACAGCTGCAAACTGAGAACCAGTTACTATTACAATTGCTTAATAATGTTGAAAGCCGCAGCTCTTTGTGTTGGAGTGTGATGATGTGATCTATAAGTAAATGTTATAGAATGATGATGCAGGTTAATCTTAATATGTTACCATGGAAATGTGAAGTGCTTCCACCTTACCTGAGGTCTCAGATTTATCTGTAGCTACATAAATAATAGAAAGATGATCTAACAAATCCTGTGTGTTTTGCTCAAATTCTTTCGAGGCGTTTTCCATTGTTACAATTATGCTCATCTGTAGCCGTAACACATCATCGGATTCCAGATAACAGCTCTGAGATTGGAGGGATGGAAAAAAGGAAAACCTTAAAAAATGATCTGAACTTGGTGATCTCAAATTTTAAGGGGAAAAGCACTTAAGATAAGGGCACATGTACTTCTGAGAACAGAATGTGCTGTTTTATTTTTTATATCTAAGCAAAGAGGCAGGAAGAAAAAAAAACTTAATTTTTTCATTTTACCTTTAATCGCTGACACACTTTGTTATGTAAACTGCATTCCAGTTGCACCTGCAAGAGGCTAGTATTAGTGGTTTCTGCCTAAAAGAAAAAAAAAGGGGGTGGGGGGGAGAAACAATGTAAAAGAAAGCAAAAGGCTCAATCTAGCGTTAATAGCAGACAACCTATCATTTATTCAGGAACTGCATTTACTCAATTGACAAACATTTGAGTATCTGCTACTTGCTGGGTGCTATTCTATTTACTGGAAATAAAACCATTAATAAAAACAGTCCCCGTTCTAATGGAAATCATAAGCTCACCCCCTGGGCAACATGAAAACTCTGACTATGGCAATACACAGATACATGTGTTCTGGATATACACAGGAACACTGTCGTTTGGCATCGAGGATACTTTTTTAATACTCTTTTTCCACATAGCAGCCTACTTTTATTTTAAAGTAGGTTCAGCAAGCAATCGCCAATGAACTGTTCTTCTGTCTGCCTTCCTTCAGTAGGATGACCTTAAAAGCTATGGCGAAATCATAAGAGATGTCCAAAATTCAACTGGCTATCATTCCTTTATTTTTCCATTACAGTTGATATTCAATATTATTTTATATTAGTTTCAGATGTACAACACAGTGGTTAGACAGTTACCAGTATATGATGTAAAAAGTGATCTGATTAAGTCCAGTGTGTATCTGATACCACAGTAGTTATTACAATATTATTGGCTATACTAGCATTTCCCATGCTGTACTCAACATTCCCATGACTACTGCCAATTTGCACTTCTTAATCCCTTCACCTTTTTCTTTACCCAACCTTTCCACCAATCCTCCCCATCTGGCAATCATCAGTTTGTTCTCTGTGTCTATAAATCTGTTTCTGTTTTGTTTGTTCATTTATTTTGAACTTTAGATTTCCCATATAAGTGAAATCACACAGTATTTGTCTTTTTCTGTCTGACTTATTTCACTTAATGTAATATCTTCTAGGTCTATCCATGCTGTTGCAAATGGTAATACTTCATTCTTTTTAAAAATATATGATTTTATTGACTTCAGAGAGGAAGGGAGAGGGAGAGAGAAAGAGAAAAAAACATCATTGATGAGAGAGAATCATTGATGGGCAGCCTCCTACATGCTCTTTACTTAGGATTAAGCCCACAACCCAGGCATGTGCCCCTAACCAGAACTAAACCCGGGACCCTTCAGTCCACAGGCCGACACTCTCTACTGAACCAAATGATTGTAAAACCATTCTTTTCTATGGCTGAGTAATATTCCATTGTATAGATGCACCACTTCTTTTTTTAAATGTTTTTATTGAGAGACAAAGGGTGAGGGAGAGAGAAACATTGATGAGAGAGAAACATTGGTTGCCTCCTGCATGCTCCCTATTTGAATTGAGCCCACAACCTGGGCATGTGCCCTGACTGAGAATGGAGCCAGTGACCTCTTGGTGTATGGGGCAATGTTCAACCAACTGAGCCACACTGGCCATGGCCCACATCTTCTTTAGCCAATCATCCACTGTTGGGCAGTTAAGTTACTTCCATATCTTGGCTCTTGTAAATAATGCTGGTTCCATGTGCACTTGAAAAAAAAATGTATATTCTGCTGCTTTGGGGTGAAATACTCTAAAAATATCAATTAAATCCATCTGGTCCAATATGTCACTTAAAGCAGCTGTTTTCTTGTTGATTTCTTGTCTGGAAGATCTATCCATTGATGACAATAGGGTGATAAAGTCCCCTACTATGACTGTATTACTGTCATATGTCATATTTTTAATATGCGGAAGAGTTATGAATGAAAGGGACTAGAGTATGTCAAAAGAATACAGAATTTTGCCCTAGCCAGTGATGCTCAGTGGCTGGAGAGTTGGCCCATGCAATGAGGAATCGAGAGTTCAATTCCTGGTCAAGGTTTGATCCCCAGCTCTATTGGGGCAGGTGCAGGAGACAACCAATGGATCTGTCTCTCTCATAGCAATGTCTCTCTATCTCTCCCTCTCACCCTCTCTCTCTCTCTCTCTCTTCCCCTTCCTTCCTCTCTCCCACTCTCTCTAAAACTTAATATAAAGATATCCTCAGGTATTAACAACAACAACAACAAGGGAAGAATACATTTTTCATCACGTTCAACGATTTTAATAGGCACATGAGATGCCACTGACTTATCTTGGAGACAGGAAATGCAAAGTCCCATCCAGGGATACAGCCTTTTGGGTTGGAGGGCAAGGGCTGTAGGCGGTGAATGCACAAAAAATGTGCAGCATGTGAACCTAAGGGGCCTGGTTTTGAGAGTTCATCTTCTGTTGAGTTTGATGTGTCTGGTATAGTTTTTCATAAGAGCACTAGGCTGGTCAGCCACAGTCCGAACACCAGAAAATCTCCACAAGAAAGTATTCCCTGAATCCTTGGCTGACTTAACTGTGGGAAAGTGTCTATTTACTTCAGGGAGATTTAGTACAAAGTAGAATCACCCTAATTATGTTTAATTCGTTAGAGTTATAAGAATTACCTAAGTACATTATATAAAAACCCATTTTGTAACTACTTTGTCATTCAGTCAATTAAAGTACAGAAAAAATAAAATAGATTACATTTTAGAATGCAGTAAAAATATTTAAGGAGTTTAACCAAGCTTGTAAATGGGACCAAGCATTCACCAACAGCTAATTTTTTAAAGAAGTAATTGCTGGTATTTGCTAGACTTAAACAGGAAAACACCACTGTGAACACAACCTAAAATCTAAAGAAGAAACATTTTTTAATTTGTCTTTCTGGGAACAAACCCCACTATCAAATACATAAATAACAACAAAAAGCCCACCACTTCTCTGAAGTTGCTTTCATCGAATTTACAAACATCCTCCATATCTAAATCCAATAGAAACTTCTCCTGTTGCCGGATCCTGCCCTCCCACCTAATACCATTAACCATTTTTCCTTCTGGCTTTTCCCTTTCATCTTTGGCTCTTCCCATTATGATCATCAGACGTTAGAATTATTCTGGATTCTGTCTTTTGTCCTCTTGACTCTCTCCCAAAGGGAGAAACAAGCTGAAGTTTGTTTCTCCAGCTCAGACTCTCTGCGCACCTATCCGTCCAACCAATGGCGAGGCATCTGCCTGGACACGCTTCCCTCACACAGGCCAAAGCAGCGGGTCTTGCTGTGCATTGGCCACCTCTTAGCACCATGCTTCATATTTTGTTTAAGGCAGAAACTTGAAAACCAACTTCACGTTCTCACTTACCCTCCTCAAACTAACCCCAAACCCATTTATACTGATTGTACCTCCTTGGCAGCCCTTGAAGCCATTCAGTTCTCTTCATTCCTAATACCCTAAAGATCAGGGGTCAGCAAACTATGCCCGTGGGCCACATCCAGCCCGATGCCTGTGTTTATAAATAAAGTTTTGTTGGAACACAGCCATGCTCATTCCTTGTGAATTGTCTATGGCTGCTGTCCTGGTATAATGGCAGAGTTGAGTACTTGCAACAGACGTCTATGGCCTGCGAAGGAGATAAAAGTATCTACTCTCCAGACCTTTACTGTAAAAGTTTATGGAGCCGTTGCCCTAGTGGGAGGGAAGAAGGCAGGAAGGGACAGAGGCAGGTAGGCTGCTGCACCAACCTCCTCCTACTGTCTGTCCCTGTGTCCACCTCTGCCCTCTCCACACCACTCTCCACATGGCATCAACAGTGAGTTTACATAAGAGGGTACAGGGAGGGTAAATGATAACGGAAGGAGACTTGACTTGCAGTGGTGAGTACACTACAATATACAGATGATATACTATAGAACTGTACACCTGAAATCTATAGAATTTTATTAACCAACACCAATCCAACAAATTCAATGAAAAAAGGGAGAGAGAGAGAGAGAAAGAGAGAGAGTATAAATATACAAATCAGGTCAAGTCACTTATCTGCTTAAAATCTTTCAAATACTTCCTGCTTGGCCCAAGTCCCAAATCCTTTACTGCAGCTACGGAATGAAGGCACCTGCCTAGTCTCTGCCTCCTTGCTTATGCCCCCGTCTCACACGTAGACTTTCTGCTCTATTTTGCCTTCAAACTCTATTTTTGCTGATCCTGCACTTTGAACCTACATTTCAGACCAACCCGACCCTCTATATAGCTAGGCCCAATTCATCCTTCGTGTCCCAGCTTAAACATCACTCAGGGAGGTTTTCCCTGACACCTCAGCTGGGGTAAGTGCCATCCTCACATCCACAACACCATTCCCCTGACCTTCGTTAACCTTCCTCATGTGATAGCTCCAGGTCTGTGCTCCCCAGCAGACTGTAAGCACCTTGCCTGAATCGTTTACCACAATGACTTCCACTTAATGGGCACTCAATATACAACTGTGAATGAAGAAAAGTGGGCACACAACTACATGCTTTCTTCAAAAGGGAAAGAAACTAAAAATAATAAACACTGGCTATAAAATCAAAGAATCAAACCTGATATTTGGCATATGTTTCTGATCCAGAACTTTCCTAAAAAGTTTTTTTTTTAAAGCCACATTAGCACATTCTCAACATATCTATAATAATAAAAGCATAATATGCTAATTAGACCAGATGTCCTTCCAGATGACCTTCTGGATGAAGCCTGGGCTGCAAGGGAAGCCCAGGTCCTGGATGCCTGCCAGTGGTTGGAGGGAAGCCCGGGTCCCGGGTGCCTGCAGGCAGACAGAGGGAAGCCAGGGTCCCAGATGCCAGAGGGGAGCCAGTGCTGGCAGCCGGGAGAAGGAAGGCCTCCTCTTGCACAAATTTCGTGCATCAGGCCTCTAGTACATTTATAATTAAGTGGGGGGTTTTATAACGTACAACTATTTAACCATAGATCTTAACCTGGCAAGGCAATTCTCTTCCCTCACATATTTCTTCAAATGTTGAAATAATGTCTGAAGTTCAAAATTATAACTTTGAACATGATTAAAAATCCTACTTGCACAGTAATTGGATGTAATTTAAATCCTCGTGGTCTGTCATCATCCTGGGTACATTTCTGGATGGATGTCTTTATAATTTACCATTCTAAATAAGATTCCTCTATTAGCAGGAAACAAAAACAAACA